GTACCAAATTATACATTTTTTATGTGGTACCATGAAGTATTTCAACATATGTCTACAGCATGTGCTGACCAAGTTTGGATAATCAGCATTGCCATTTCCATCTCATTCCTTTATATTTGGAGCCTTTGAGCTCTCTTGTAGTTCATAAAATATTATGAATTATAGTCACCCCACTATGCTGAAGAACAGAACTTAATTCAATTTCAATGTTTTAGTGGAGACATTCAAACCACAGAAGATTTTAGTATCTAGAATACATAAGGCTCTCCTAAAACTTAGTAGAAACTTACATTAAAAATTGGGCAAAGGACTTAAATAGACATTTCTCAAAGGGAGACTGTTGTGGTTTGGATGCAAATTCCCAAAAGGCTCATGTGTTGAAGGTTTGGTCCCAGCTGGTGGCCCTATTAAGAGTGCCTGAATCCTAAGGGCTCTGACCTAATCAATGAATGCATCCAGAGTGTAGTGTTATTGGGAGGTACATGGGGCCTAGTTGGAGGAAGTAGGTCACGGGGGGCTTGCTCTATTAAGATGTCTCCAGCCCCCTTCCTATTTCTTGCCAGCTATGAGGTGAATATGCCATGATGCTCTGCCTCACTCACCGTGGGCCCAGAAGCAATGGAGCCAAGAACTATGGACTGGAACCTCTGAAACCACAAGCCAAATTAATCATTCCTCCACTTTAAGTTGCTTGTAATCAGGTATTTTGTTACAGCAACAAAGTCTACTACAAAGGTGTACAAGTGGCTAACGCATATGAAAGCATCACTTAACTTCAAGGAAATGCAAATCCAAATCATATCAACTCACACTCATTGATGGCCTCATTAGTGAGGATATGGAGAAACAGGAATCCTTGCACACTGTTGCTAAGATTGTAAAAGGGTCATGCCACTATGGAGAACAGTATGTAGGATTCTTAAACAGCTAAATGTAGAATTGCCATGTATGTGATCCAGTAATCTCACTTCTGGATTCCAAAATAACTGAAAACAGGATTCTGAAGAAGGATTTGCACACCCATGCTTACTGCAGGTTTATTCACACAGTCTAGAGGTAGAAGCAACCTAAATCCCTATTGAAAATGTACTCTGGAGTATTAGTGTTAAGGAGATCCTGCCATATGCTACAGCATGAATTAACGTTGAAAACATGCTGCTGCTTGTAATGAGCACTCACTCAGACATGCTGCATGAGCCCACTTACATGAAGTACCTAAAGTAACCAAGCTCACAGAAATACCATCTACCATGAAAAGGGAGACAGGGAGCTGTTTGCAATGGTATAGACTTTCAGTCATGTCAGATGAAAAAGTTCTATAGGTTTATTGCACAACAATGTATGAACAATACTGTATTGTACACTTAGAAATTGTTAAGAGGGTAAATTTATGTTATTTATGTAACATTAAATAAACATACATACGTAGCGTGTGGATATGTATATAAGCATGCAAGCGCAGGTAGCAGCTGTCTCAAACTATTTCATTTGCACATCATTTTCTTTCATTTGCATATCATTTTGCTGCTGCTGAGGAAGACAATTATCTGAGATAAAACTTGTTCCTCGTTTCAGGATCTCGTTTTGTTTTTGTTTTAATAACATGGCTTATCAAATATGTATTAAGAGTCAAAACATTTTTAACTACAGGACTTAGTAAAAAGGAAACAAAGGTATTAAAATTAACTATCAAAGTGATCGTATGTTAGTAACACTATTTTTAAATGTCATTAAAAGAGAAGACCTAAAGGATAATTAAAATTAAAAAAGCATAATATAATTGGGGTGTTTCAAGAGGTAGGGCGCTTGAAGCCCTGAGTTCAAACCCGGTATTGCAAAAAAAAATAATAATAATAATATTCTTGAGAAAAATAACAGTTATTTAAATGAGTCTGAATTAGTCTGGAACTGGGTAAGATGATAAATGAAACAGGTAACAGGAACCATTTATAGTTTATATGCTATAACGCAAATAAACTATGTTGAATTTTACTGATCTCTTTATAGAATAGGTAATTTTTAGGTATCAACACATGTCCTTAATAATCATCCTGTGACTTAGGGACTTAGGGCCATGATAGTAAATTACAGATTCCAAAGAATAAGATCGTACTATCCTTTTGCTATGCATTTGACTGCCTGACAGACTTAATCAAATGCTCATGGTTCAATTAGTGGCTTTATTTCTTTGATTTGAAAACTCCAAGTCTTTTAATATATTTTGACAAACATGCTTTTTCTTTTAATATTTAGAGGTATTGTCAAGGATCCAACAGATGAAAAAGCCTTATAACCCATACATACTAACCACTTCCACAGACATTTAGGATTTTTTTTTCAACATTCTTAAAATTCCAGGTGCTGTTTTCCTGTTTGAAACACGTATTTATGAATTTAGGAAAAACACTTATGAAGACATTTGGTAGTATTACAAACCCAAGGCTGTTTTGTTACAAGATGTAAGTATATGGAAGACATTAATTTGAGTGTATTTTAAATTAAAGATGTGACTGTTAAATAGCTAAAATTTGGGGCTTAAAGTATTGGTCTTTGATTTACATTAAATTTTTACTTTTAATAAGAAATCTGTGCTTCTTTAGAATTATTTTTAAATTCTTTTCTTTCTTGGTGGTACTGGGGTTTGAACTCATGGTCACACTTGCTATGCAGGCACCTTATCACTTGAGCTATTCCACCAGCCCTTTTAGTGATGGTTATTTGTGGGACAGGGTGTATATCCAGGCCAAATTAGATCTATTTGTGCTTCCTCATATAGCTAGGATGACAGGTATGTACCAATGTACTCAGCCATTGCTTGAGAATGGGTTTCCTGAACTTTTTTTTGCCTGGCCTGTCCTGGAACCATACATGATTCTCCTGATTTCTGCCTCCTGAGCAGTTAGGGTTACAGCTGTACTTTTTTTCCCCGCTTAGTGGTACTAGGGTTTGACCTCAGGACCTTATCCTGTATTTGCTAGGCAGGTGTTCTAACCACTTGAGCCACACCCTCAGCTCTCCTGAGAATTAATTTAAAATCTTACTTTGAAACAATAAAATAAAAGAAAAAGAAAAAAATCTTTTTTGATTAAATCAGACCTTGTCAAAAACCAAAAGAAACAAAAAGTCTATATCCTCTGAGATTTATTGGGTACTTTTAAGGTTAGTTTGCTAAATAAACTGTTATAAAATATGGAAAATATAGGAATTAAACTTTCTAAGAATCTTTATCACCTGAATGTCATTAGTGATTTCAAATATATTTTGATGTATTAGTACAATTAATTATGTCATTACAATTTAGAGCCAAGCCTCACAAAACCAAACAGCTTCAAAACCTACATGATATATACCTTTAAAAAGAAGTTTTGTTTTTGCTGTATAGTTGTAAAAAGTGAAAAGATGAGGACTAGGGGCATGGCTCAAGTGGTAGAGCACTTTCCTACCAAGTGGGAGGGCACTGAGTTCAATCCCCAGTACCGGGTGTGGGGGGGGCTGGTGGTGGGGGATGAAGTTGTATTTTTCTGATAATTTAAGAATCACTTCTAAATCATATACACACAAGAGCGGGGGAGGGGGGGAGGGAGTGGTGGTGGTTTCTGAAACTAACATAAAAAATTACATAAAGAGACATAAGAACAGGAGTGGAACATGAGGATATATTTGAAGGTTGAGACATGAAAAGGTTTCCACCACTTATTCCTAGGCATAGCTCCTATCCAAGTGAGTGAAGTTTTAACCAAGAAAAAGCTATAAAGTCTCTTTTTGTACTGTCATAACATTCCTTCACAACCATGCTTTTTCTGAAATGAACCTACATATATTCAATATACAAATGAGTAGCCACCTGCTTTAAATAATGCGTTTCTTCACTTATTGGATGCAATTATTTCATTTTTTATATTGAAAGATACAGACATTTATGAAAAAAAAAGACACCTCCCCCAAAAAAGGTTGAATAAAATTCTGCACAAAATGCACAGCTCTATACTCTCCTTTCAGTGAAGGCTACATTGTAGGAACAAAATCTCTATTAGAGAACTAGTTGTGAGAAATGACTACCCCTAAAGATATTATATTCTCAATTTTTGCTATTTAAGAAAAATCAACATTAATTCTGTTTAAGATAAAGATTTAGCTTTGGGAAAAAATGAGCCTTTTAAATTTTAAACCTAAGTCAGTCTAGTTGACTGGCATTAAGAACACAGGGCCCATCCATTTGTCTTATACTTCTTTCCCTTGTAGATTAAAATGTCTCTTCAGTCTTTTTCCATACACAGAACTGAGTATGAACAAGTCTGGTTGATACACAGATTAGGTCCTTAATATATCTTAAGTTTACTGTCCCTTCTCCCGTTTAATTTATTTTAGAAGGACCAAAACTGGAGCCAAGGTTTCAAAAGGTAATTTAACAGCAGGACTATAATTTAATCACAGCATGTCATATTACACTATGTAACATTATATATTTGCCTACTGATAGGTAACATAGTTAAGTTTATTACAAGCATTATTTTCTAAGACTATGATGTAAGTGCTCCTTTTCAAGTATTACCACTTATTTTATAGTGTTTATCTATATTATAACATTAAATCAATGATAAATATATAAATGCAATGCATTGTGTACCATTTTTCTGTACCCCATGTAAAGGTATTATTAACAAAATCAATTAAGAAAACCGAGACAACTATTAAAATGGAAACAAGGCTATCCACATTACAGATGCGAGTCTGAGGAGGTCAACAGCGTTCCCTGTAACATGAAGGGGTTAGCATGAGGTTAGCAGCAGCTGGTCTTCACGACAAGCAGAACACAAATTTCAAGTGAAAAAGACAGTTACTCTGAGAAAACATCAATCCAATTACTAATGAAGAACTGCTGGTGTCACCTTAACCTAAAATTGTGCACTTTCTCTTTCCACAAGTGATTTAGTTCATTTATGTGATGACAACAAAACTGGAGTTCTCATTGTACATAAATGAGATGGACTAATTTGTCAAGGAACCTCTTACTTGTTTTAATATTGAAATTATAACAATACAATAACTAGAAAAAAGGTCAGTGCCTCAGTGGCTTTAAACCACATCAATTTTCAATATTTAAAAAAAATAACAATGCAATTAAATCTATGCTTCTGCAACAATAGTGCAATACAGTATCCTTTCTTGAATAAAGGAAATGAGGTTTATCCAATAGAAGCGTTAAATAAAGGTAGACTGTTGCCAATTACATACCAATCCTGCATGTTTGATATGAAGTATGTCAGGAAAGCTTAAGTGACTTGTAAATCCATATTCAGCTAAAGCTTCACATAAGCAGCAATGGAAATGAATAGAAGTGCACTCAATACAGAACACTTTTCAAAACTACTCCAAAAAACAAATGACAAAAAGTAGTTAAGAACAATTGAACATCTGTTGTGTGCATCAGATGTAAAAAAATGAATGGACCCTTGGTTACTTAGACTGTTTGAATTATGTAAAGATAAAATTAAAACTTAGTCCACTTCCATCTCTCCGGATTTAGTATGCTGCGAGCTGTCTTTTGTATCTGGTTTAGTTTCAGTTCCACTTTGTCCATCCATTGGTCCATTGTGTTCATTGTTAGCTTTTTCTTGGTCTTCAGCAACTTCTACTTTTGGTTTGGGCTTGTAAATGATAGGGTTACAGAAATTATCCAGTTCCTAAAAGCATAAATTATATTTAAAATATTAAGACCAAGTTACCATTAACTTTTGAAATTCTACATAAATTTTGTATTTTTCCACATAATTTCCACATTCCTGAATTTATGTTAGTTCAGCTACATACCATTTCTTCAAATGCTTTATGAAGGATTTGCCTTCTGGCTAATGCATGTTTGTGGCAATCAGAAGCTATTAAATGTTTAACAGTATTTTTTGTATCTGACTTCCTACAACTTGTTTCCTTGTAATTTTAAATATTTACTGTATTTAAACATCAATTTTTGTCACTGTGTTTAACTTTTTTGTTGTTTTCTGAGTCAGAGTTTACTATGTAGTCCACGCTGGCCTCAAACTCCCAACCCTATTTCCTTAAGCCTCCTGAGTGCTGGATTATGAATGTGTACCACCATGCCTGGCCTTAACAATTCGTTTCATTTTTCTTTGAAATTATGACAAATGGCTTGAGAATTGTCAAATAGCACATATTTCATAAACTGAAATTTCTCCAGATTTACATAAAAGCAATTATAATAAACAGAATAATGTAAACGATAATTTTTTTTGCAAATAGTTAAAGGAAAAATAAACCATAAAAAGTAAATGTAATTTCATTTTAAATTTTATGCAATATGCTTTTAATTTTCTGCTGAAGGAAAAATCAGCCAAGAAAGGAAATGCAACACATTAATTTAAATGAAATGCAAGCTATTTTCTATTTCTTAGCTTTTTACACAGAAATGCAAGACAGTACATAATCAAATTTTAAATTTTAATCAAATTTAAAAACTTTTCAAGACCACTGTCACAGACATTGGGGCAGGGATGGAAAGATAGCGTAACATCATAGGGAGAATGTTTTAGTAACAAACTGCTCTCTGTATCTTAAATTGATTATGAGTAAATTACCTATAATAGGCTTCTTGACAAAGAATGAAAATACTTTTCTTACTTTGATTATAAAATACCTTCTTTTGTTAAGAAGAAAAAGGGAAATATCAGACACAAAAAAAATTGAAGAGAAAAATCATGTGGAAGTGTATCTCTTATAGATTAATGTTTTGGTGAACATCCTTTTGGATGCTCATTCACGCACACACTCGTTTACAAACATAAATCTATGTGCAAAAATTATATATTTGAGATCATTTTACTTAGGCTCTGTAATCTTACTCAACAGTATGCTGAACATATCTTTTATCTAATACTATATTTAATAACTGCATGATATTGCATAGATGCATTAATTTAGGTAGTAACTCCTAGAACTGTGACTTCTGGGCAAAAAGCTATACTCATTTCAAATTTCTACATATAAAAAAAAATTTCTACATATATTCTGACACAATGTCCCAGGAAAGTCATAACAAATTTAACTTGCTCAGGGTAGTACATTCCTTTTTTTTTTGCATCTTTGCCAACAATGCCAAAGATTATAAATGTAAACACAGCAAATTATATAGGCAAAAAGTTTTGCATTTTTTAGTGATAAGGATAAACATCCTTACATATTAGATATGTATTTCTTCTTTTGTCTACTGCTAATCCAATGTCTTACTCATTTTTCTATTTTTTTGTTTTGTTTTGTTTTTGGTGGCACTGGGGTTTGAACTCAGGGCCTTACTCTTGCTACGCAGGTGCTCTACCACTTGAGCCAGTTTGCCAGCCCACTTTTGTGTTGGGTTATTTGTGAGATAGGGTCTTGCTTTTGTTGCCCAGGCTGGCCTCAAACCGTCATCCTCCTGACCTCTGCCTCCAGAGAAGCTAGGATTACAGGTTTGAACCAACAGCTCCCAGTAGATATTCATGTTTTTATAGTTTTGTCACCATGTTTTTTGTGGTTTTTTCCTGATAACATTTGACATTTTCACTAAATCTGACTAAATCAAATTTTAAAAAAATTAAGATTTGACCTATGGAAGTTCAAATATTTCACATTAGGTCATAGACAGACCTGTACGACAATGAAGACTTTAGAGATCACGTTGAATCGTTAAGTGTTAATTATTTAAGTCGCAAGTCATTAATTGCTTTATTTCATTCTGCATTATTCTTGAAATTTAAAAACCAGGCTTGTGTGACAAATTTTTAAAAACAAACAGAGATATCCCATACATAGACTCATTTTTAAAATTAGCAAAATAAAAGACTAGTCTTAAATTTCTACCTTCTGCAGTTGATTAGTTCTCAAAGTATGACTCCCATTAAAATTTTAGTCCTTAAACCCTTTAAATTGAGAATTTTAGTTTCTTACCTTTGACTTTGCAACTATTTCTGACACTTTTACCACGGGATCTTGAGTGAGACTTAATTTGTTCTGTGCATTCATTTTACTGTTCAGCCAATTCATGGCATCACTGATATATTTTTCAACCTTTTCCATTTCAGCAGGATCCAAATGATCATATCTTTCATCCTATTAAAAAAAAGCTTTAGTTGGTATTACTGCTTTTTTTTTTTGGCAAGTTACCAGTTATGGATAATTTCTGCTTAGAAGATTTAAATTCTTATTGACTGTACTTTGCACAGTATTATATAAAAAGAAGCCACATACAAATACAATATAAAACTGAAGAGACTAGGAGAAAAGATAAAATCAGTGTGAGTTTAGAAAGGAAAAGTTTTTTGAAGAAGTCAGATTTGGAAAAGAATTAGAGAATATATGCAGTAGCAAGGAAAGAGACTATGATGGAATGGAATTTGTTAGAGAATACAGAGAAAGTAGGTGAGCAGGCTTATAGCAAGTTAAGACATTAAATTATGAATACACAACAGAATAATTATGGTAAGTTCTTGATAAAGCAAATGACATAATAAAATTCCATCTAAAAAAATTGCAGCTCACATACTGGAAACAGGTTAGAGAAGTCATAGTTTAGACTAGCAGAACCAGAAAGGAATAGCAACATAACATATTGGATACAGAAGAGAAATAAAAAGCTAATGAAAAAAACACTCCAGAGTAAAAAAAGTGGAAGGGAGCTGGAATGAAGTTCAGTTGAGCATTTGCCTAGCATGTTACAAGATCCTGGGTCAATTCCCAGCAGAGTGGGAGGATTGTGATGCCATTTTTTAAATCATAAAGCCTCTTCAGATATGCAAATTAAAATATTACAAACTACAATTTATCATCTTTGACCGTTTCTATGTTGCCACATTTTTTTGAATTTCTTACTACCACATGGGTTTCTTTTTGTCATCTTCATTCATCCCTCCATCTACATGCTTTAAAAAAAAATCTCTTAACTTAAGCCTCTTCCCTGAACTCTCCAATCTACACTCAACTTCAAGCTTTTTATCTGCAAAGTTCAAAATGCCTATTTATGTTTCAAACTCCTGTTTATATCCCCACCTACTTTTCTGAGTTTTCCTTATCTCAGTATATGGAAACTTCATCCTTTCAGATAAAAATCTTTGGAGCTGTTTTTGACTTCTCTGCAAAATGTCCATCATCTATCTTATAAGCTCTAGCTTTAAAACAAATGTGAAAATCTGGCCTCTTCTTGCCTCTCTACTATCTGTGTTCAAGCCTCCATCATTTCTTGCTTGTGTTATCCTAACTAGTCTACTTCCAGCTCCCTTAAAAAATAAGTCATTATTACACCTATGCTCTAAAACCTCCAGTAACATCCCATTTCAGGGCAAAACCCAAGCTTTCACAGTAGTAAATCAGGCCTTTCATGATCTGGCAACTGCTATCCCCTACCCCTCTGTTTTAATCCACACTGGCCTTGCTATTCTGTACCTCTAACATATTTCCCCTGCAGGGTTTAAAACTGCAATTTTCTTTTCCAATTACCAAACATCTCGAGCCCTCCCTCCTCTGTTCTCTCCTCACATGTTATGTCCTCCTTTAGTTGCCTTTGTCTATAGCCAGTTATTACCATTTGACATACTTTATAGAAACTTTATTGTCCACTATTCCCAACTGAAACATATCAGAGACAGTTTCAGTATTTTGCTTGCTATAGGTCAGCACCCTGAAAAACACATTATAAAAACTCAAATCCTTGAGAATAGTCTTATCTTGCTTTGGATAGTATCTATACCTGCATACTCAAGAAGACAGCTAAAGCCTGGGAAGCACTGGGTTAGCCGCACAGTATTTATACAGAATTTGAAATATTCTTCGTATTTTCTCTGCCTTGATCCTTCTTACTTTTCCATTATCCATATATTCTACTTGAGAGTATAAGGACAATATAGACACTGATTATTTACAATCAGTACATAGATTTTTCCTTTAGATTGGCTGAACTGCAATTTTTTAAATAAAACTCACAAATTTCTTATTTTTAAAATAAGTTTTTTTTTTTCTGTATTGCACAGTGGGGAAAACAATGTAGTTGCTGAGTTTGTATGCTGATAGCAGACTACTCAGGTTTGAATCCTGACTCCCATCATTTCCTGCTTAAGCAATTTCTCAAATGCAAATTAAGGCAACAATATTAATGTTTAATAGAATATATCCTGGAGAGAATAACATGACATAACACAAAGTGCTTGATAAATGTAAGCCTTTATGATACCCATCCTGAATGTTTCTGGGGCTGGCCCCTCCTAACACACTGAGGCAGCTTTAAAATCAATGATAGAAAACTGCCGGTAACACTGCGTATTTAGAGAAGGATGAGTACACTTTTCCTGTAGGCCAAGTTCAACAGGCTGCCTATGATTCTTAATGAAGTTTTTTAGGACACAGCCATGTCCACTGGTTTACTATTGTCTATGGTTGCTATTGCACAACAATGGCAGAGATGAATGGCTGTACAGATACAGTAACAACTGCAAAATGTAAAACACTATGTCTTTAAAGGAAGTCTACTAACTGGTTTAGAGGATATGCTCAATTATTGTTAAACTTACTGTTACATCCAAATGAATATATGATCTATGTAATTATATATATGTGAGACTTTAAAACAGTGGAAAATTTAAGTAATACATATATGGGTAAGTATATAAGAGAATAAAGGATATAGAGGATTATGAATGAGTAACTAAAAAACAAGCTAAAGAACAAAATCTGGGTTGTCTCAAGGAAGCCCATAATTTTTTAAAAAAAGGTCTTTTCATTATATAAAAAACAAAATGAAATCACAAGAAAATCATTGATCTTATCACTCGATTAACTTATACAGTGGTTACAGAAAGTTCTAAAAGCTGAGAGCCACAGATTTAAATGAATCAGAAACCTCTTTTGATGATTCTTCCATTAAAAAAACAAATTTTAAGTCTGATACACAAAGTCTCTGGAAATTTTTAGTAACTTACTGTCACAGCTTTGTAGCTGTGAACTTTCAGATTAAACCCTACTTTTTCCAGGTATCACATAAATACTATCATCACCAGTTGGTTTTACAAATTCAATACCTTGTTTCTATATGCTTCTATTACTTTCATGACAAGCTGAATTTTTTTTCCCAAGTCATTTAAAGCTTTTGGTCTCTCTTCATGTTCCATGTACTTCATTTGAATAGGCTGGCCATATTTCTGTAAATACAAGAACAATTTTTAAAAAACCAAATTTTTATTCAGTTTTAAAACAAAACTTTCATTTGGCCCTTACTAGATATGAAATAGGAAGAAAAAAAATAGCCAGACTACAATGTACCCCCTCTTTCTTTCCTATAAATAGGTGAATTCTAGTGGCTCTTCTCTTATTCAATCTTACACAGGAATACCTAACTCATGCTTTACCCTTTTTCTCATTCATGTGTACCTCTCCCTTGTTTTCAAATCCAAAATCCCAATCAAAACTTTAATTCTCTCAAAGTTGGATGCTAAAACTTTATAGAACAATTAGGTAAAAAAACAACAACATAAGGATATACTGTATTGCATTAAGAATTCATGAATTTAAAACTTAAATTTCAAAATTAACAATACATAATGTAACTTTTCCTGATACCTACACATTATTTAGATACTCATTAAAATATGTACTATATACTAAGTCTTTCCTTCCAGGTGAGTGGATTAGATAGCATTTCTAAATGTTAAAACAGCCTATAAATCTGGAGAAGGAAGCATAATAGAAGGATAAAATAACTATCTTATTTTAAGTATTTCTTATGTTCTTACATAAAAGTCAGCTTACTTAACAAAAGTTTTACATTTATAGAAAAAAGAAGAAATTCAAAAGCATCTAACATTTCTCACTGCTTTTTTTTTCTTCCATTTTTAACATAATATGGTACGTCTATCAAAACTAAGAAATCCACATGGGTGCAGTCTTTATTCAGATTTTACCTTTAATCTATTTCAGGACACCATATTGTATTTGATCTATTTAAATGTTTCTGGTGGTTCTGGGGATTGAACTCAGGGCCATGCACCTTCTTAGTAAGGCACTCTCTACCACCATATTTAATTGTTTTTGAAAAGGAATCAAGTACTGCATTTTTAAAGGTCATTTCAAAAACAACAAAATAAAAAAAAAAGTGAAGCCTGTAAAAATTCTGTAGCACTCATTGCTGTTGCTACTTAACATTTGAGGCCAAAGAATCCAGGTTAGGTGCTACTGAGATTTCCACTTGTTAATACTGGCCTCAGATGCTTGGCTATTCCTAGGGTTTAAGGAATGGGGAGTAAAAATGACTTAGGTTTTCTAGTTGCTTCCTAAGGATTCCCTTTGGAAATGATTTATCGGCATTAAATAATTTTTGTCAAGATATTAATTTCTTTTACTTTTTTGAGACCAGGGTTTCGTTATGTAGCCCAGACTGGCGTTAAACTCTTCACTCTCCTCGCCTCAGCCTCAGTGCTGGGATCATAGGCACATGCCTGGTTTCTTTCACTTTTAAGTTAACATACTTTGTATCCGCCTGCTCCACCGCCTTCCCATATTCTAAAACCTTTACTGATCCATTATCATCAAGGTACTCAAAGATGGTTCCAGAGACCATTTTTAATTTGGAAACTTGTTAAAAATGGTAGAATCATGGGCCCACCTATCTACAGAATCAGAATCTGCATTTCACTTGTACATTAAAGCACTGCTAAGAAGCAATGACTGAAATTTCTCTTTATCCTCCCAATAGAAACTTCCAATCCCTTAAGGTACTGTCTTTAGAGTGGAGAGGGGCATTGAGCAGCAAGCATGGATAAAGCCAACAGTGGTGTTTCCTTAAAATTCAGACCACTGACCTAGAGAAAGGGGATCTGGTATGCAAGTCTTTCTTTCTGAAAGGTCATTCAAGAGTAGGAGTGAGCAGGGCACCAGTGGCTCATGCCTGTAAACCTAGCTACTCAGGAGGCAAAGATTAGGAAGATCTCGGTTCAAAGCCAGCATGGCCAAATAGTTCTCAAGACCATATCTCAAAAATACCCATCACAAAAAAGGGCTGATGGAGTGGCTCAAGGTATAGGCCATGAGTTCAAATCCCAGTACTACAAGAAAAAAAAATAGAGTAGGGGTGTTTTGTTGGCTGTAGCTGGGGTTTGAACTCAGGGCCATGTGCTCACTAGGAAGCTTGAGACACTCTCCCAGCTTCCCTTATTATAATTATTATTATTTTGGCTTTAGTTATTTTTCAGGTAGGGTCTCATGTTTTTGCCTGAGGCTAGCCTTAGACTATGATCCTCCTACTTATGCCTCCCACACAGCAGTACAGCCATGTGCTGCTATGCCCAGCTTATTGGTTGAGATGGGGTTTCACTAACTGGCCCTACACTGACAGCCTCATGATTTCTGCCTCCAGAGTAGCTGAGATTATAGGCCAGGGCCACCATGCCCAGCCAGGGGTGCTATTTTTGAAGTGCTGGCTAGACAGGTATTCCTATCAGTCCCAAAGGTCAATTACTCCCAAAGGTCAATGCAGGAAAGGGTGAGAGAAATAACAATAGTGAAGGATAACTCTTCTAAGGAATAGGGGTCAAACTGATAAATGTATTACTTCTTAAAGATATGTCAGTAACATAGCCTGTGTTAAAAGTAACACTCTGGTTGTCTGCTATACAATTATATCTGAGTATCATGATTATAATTAATTTGAATTATGTAGCATTGGTCACTTCTCAAAACGTTTTTAAAATTAGAACATTTCCTCCTACACACACCTCTAACTTAGTAACGTTTTACACATTTATTAATGCCCCTATCTAAGTAATCCCTCTGCTGGGTATATATTCCTATCACTTCTGGGAGTGCACAAGTGATCTCTGCACTCCTGTATTCATTATATCATTATTCACAATGGCAAAGAGATTTATGAATGAATGAAGAAAATATTCTAGGTACATACAATGGAATACTGTTTCAGCTTTAAGATAGAAGGGAATCATGTCATTTGGGACTTGAATGAACTTAGACAATATTATGCTAAGTGAAATAAGGCAGGCACAGAAAGATAAATACTGCATGATTTCACTTACACGCTGAATCTAAAGAGAGTCAAACTTACAAAAGTAGAGAGTAAAAGCGGTTACCAGTTAGGGAGAGGGAGGAGGAATGGGGAATGTTGGCTAAGGGGCACAGTATTTTAGTTAGATAGGAGAAGTAAGTTTAAGAGATGTATTGCTCAACATGATGACTACAGTTAGTAATAACAGTATCTTATATATCTGAAAATTGCTGAAAGATTTTAAGTGTTCTCACCAAAAAAGGGAAGGAGGTTCAATGTGAGATAATGCACTATTAAAATAGCTTGACTGAAATACATTGTCATTCTGCAATGTGTACATATATCAAATCATGTTGTATATCATAAATAAATACAATTTTTGCCTGTCAATTAAAAAGTGAATTTAACTGAAAATACAACTTAGGCTTTTAAACCATAATTTTTAGGAAACTTAAATGGGACTTTAAAATAATTTACCTTTAGTTCCTGAAGCTTATCCACATAAACTTGTTTAGGTTGGTCCTCTCCTTCTTCATAAAGCCAATTTTCTGTGTCTTCCAATATTGCAGACAGTTTATTCATTTCCTAGTAGTAACATTTAAGAGACAAATTACAAATGCCTTCCTTGTTAAATTTCAGATTTTTCTGACTTCTTATTCATACACATTTTTACCATACTTCTGTAAAACAGAAAATAACTAAGAACCATCCCTATTATCAGCTCAAGTAGATTTATAATAATTCATACTAGGATTTTCAAAAAACATTTAAAGATTTCTCATAAAATTATGAAATTCAGACTTACTTCTGGAGTGATGAATTTTTCATAGACACTGCCCAGCCTGTCTCTAAAATCATACACATATTCTTCAACAGCATTTTTAGCGTCATTTCTTTCTTTCTCCAACTTATCCTGCATTATCATCTTCCCCTATTCAAAAAGTTTAGATTGTCATAATATGCTTTAGAGAAATGCAAATAAAATATAAATCAAAACCATAATGAGATACCACTTCACACATACTAAAAGGAATATATTTTAAAAAATAGATGCGGAGAAAATAAAACCACTGAATGTTGCTGGTGGGAATGTAAAACACTGCAGTCCCATGAAAACGTTTGGAGGCTCCTTAAAAAGCCAGTGGCTCATTCCTGTAATCCTAGCACTTGGGAGGCAGAGAGTGGAAGGATCAGGGCTCAAGGCCACGCCAGAGAAATAGTTTATGAGACCCCCATCACCAAAATAATCAGAGCAAAATGGACTGGAGGTGTGGCTCAAGCAGTAGAGCACCTGCTTTACAAGTACAATGCCGAGTGCAAACCCCAGTCCTACCAAAATAATAATAGTAATTTTAAAACGTTAAAATATAGGACTAGGGGTGTAGTTCAGTGGTAGAGCACTTGCTTAGCATGCACAAGGCACTGGGTTTGATAACCAGACCCCCCCCAACACACACAAGCTAAACAAACCATTATAATTTCACTCTTATCAATTATATTCTTGAGTTATATATACTCACAGGAGTTGAAGCAGGGACTCAAGAGATATATCAATGTTAACTGTAGTATCATTCACCACAGCCAAAAAAGTAGAAACTACTGAAATGTCCACCAGCAGATGAACAGGTAAACAATGGGATGTTGCCTGGTCTTAAAGGAATGAAGTTCTGACACACAGTACAACACAAGTGAATCCTACCATTATTACAAGTAAAAAAGCCATATGCAAAAGAACAAGTACTGTTATGATTCAACTTATATGAGTTATCTAGATTAGAAAAATTCACAGGAGGTAGATTAGAAGTTTCTGGGAACTGGGGGAGGGAAGGAATGGTGAGTTATTACTTAATGGTTACAATGCTTCTATTTGGGACAATGAAAACGTTGTAGGAATGGTGATGGTTTTACAAAACTGTGAACGTATTAATACCACCAAATTGTACATCTAAAGTTTTGAAATGGCAAATTTTATACTACATAGATTTTAACCACAATTTGAAAAAATTAATAATGTAACAAAATCACTGAATTGTACATTGTGAGTGAACTGTATAGTGTGTAAATTTATTTCAATAAAGCTGCCGACCAAACAAAACATAGTCTATGTCATTATACGTACTCAGGTTCAAACCCTAGGTTCCTCATTTACTATTTCAATAGCAGGAACATCACCTAATCTCAGATTCCTTATCCTAAAACAGAGACTATAACCACCTTATAAGACAGTAACACTGTTGTCATTCATGTAAAATATTTAAGACACTGCCTGGCATGTAACCAATGCTGAACAGGTGCTGCACTTGGAGGGAAGGTAGTATAAAGGTTGTGATGCTGAGCTCTGGAGATTGATCATCTGGATCCAAACCCAAAGGTCACTTCTCTGACCCTGGGAATTCAGTGCACTAATGCCTCAGTTTTCTTATCTATGGAATATAAACCCGTAACAGTAGCTATCAAAAGCAAAGACAGAACTTGCAGATTGAAGTCCTTGAATATAATTTTCACTTTAATAAACACATAGCATTTACATATTAAGAATCTCTTTATACACTATGATGCATTGACATTTATGAATTTAAGATGAGACAGAAAAATTAAGAAAAATCTCATTTTACATATGAACTCTGCCAAAACTTTATTATCTAAGATTCATTCCTTTGGAAAATGAGGCTACAGACATATAAATTCTGAATTATACAAATCTCCAGGAATGCTTGCTTCACATAAAATGTACCCTTTATTTATTATCAAATAGGTGATATCACAAGGTACTAAAAAAGCAAGCACTGTTAAGTAAAAAGCTCTTGATACAAATAATGTGCAGTTGACAGAAGGATATAGGGCACTTCAAAGAGTGACATTTTTTTCTTTTTGTGGCACTGGGGTTTGAACTCAGGGCTTCATATTTGTTAGTCAGGCACTCTACCACTTGAGTCATATTCCCAGCCCAAAGACTGATCTCTTAATGCCAACCAAGCTTGTGGGAAACAGTAACCACCATTTTAAGGTAAATTTTAAAAATAAAAATAAATTATTTCTTACAGTTACTGGTAAACAATCAAAACTCATTTCCTTGAGAGACTGTAAAACTAAATGTAAATAGACAAAAACATGTAAGAAAGTATCATCATTATAATAGATTTTTAAAAACTATTTAATGGGAGTCAAAACATTTTGAATAGTCTTAATCCTTTAGGCCCATACATTAAAAAATACTTTTTCATATGACATGTGCTGGGTTAAGAATCATTAGCTTCCAAAAGGTTTTTCTTTGTAGTGGAGACAATCTGTTTTTTCATATAACTAACATGTATGGCATTAATACAGATGAGTATTTTATAAAAAATAAAGTAGTTTGATGATCTGCTTAATAATTCCTTAGAAATTATGAATTACTTTTCCAGATTTTGGAGATAATCACAGACTTCAAAAGAAGCAAGCATTACTACCCTTTTCAGCATCAACTCAGACTTACAGACCTCATTTTCAATGTAGCTATTGAGAAGGTCTTGGGCCAGCTGTCGATACAGGCTACTCTGGATTGGCAGATCGATACTCTTGACTTTTCCTTTTTTAATGGTCTGATTTATTCGGTCTTGTCTGTCTGAGGGAATTGACTGGGTTGGGAATACAAATCAAAACTACAATGAGTTACCACTTCACACACAGTATGATAGCTATAATTTATAAGAAAGAAAAATAACAAGTATTGGTGAGACTGTAAAATGTTATAGCCATTTTAGAAAACAGCTGGAGAGGTTCTTCCAAATGCTAAAGCACAGACATACTGTATGACCCCGCAATTCCATTTCTGCACGTGCCCAAGAAAATGAACATAGACTTGTACATCACTGTTCATAACATTATTCATAATATTAAAAATAGAAAACAACCCAAATGTTCATCAATAGATGAATGGATAAAATGTGGTATACATTCACACCATACAACAAGACTATTACATCATAACAAGGTATGAAATATTGATACATCCTACATCTAGGATGAATCTTGAAGACATTATGCTTAGTTGAAATAAGGTACCTGTAAGTGTATTTATATGAACTACACAAAATAGGCAAATCTAGAAAGACAAAGACAGTTGCCTAGGCTAAAAGGCAGAGAGTTAAGGAGAAATGGAGAATTACAGTTAGTAAAGTACAGGGCTGCTTTTAGATATAAAGAAAATGTTCTACAATTGTGATGATGGCTGCACAACTCTTGTGAATACATCAAAGTCACTGAATTATGGGTGAATTGTGTGATGTGTAAATTACAGCTCAGCTAAACAACAGCATAAAATTAGGTAGAATGAAAAATGTAGAAAAACAGGTTTCAGGTTTTAAGTCACTTTAGGGTTTAGGGATTTGAAGCCTCTTGGGAAAAAAAAAATACATAGTTAACCCAGACAGACTAAATTCTGTGCAAGTTAGAAAAATCTGTTGAAGATGACAGCTTAGAGCAAGAGCCACAGTTATCTGGGTGACTGTGACAGAGTCTCTTCTTCCTCTTTTATTGTCAATAATTATATTAATAAAATTATTACATTCAATTATAGTCATTTGTCCTCTATCATTTAAAAGTATTTCTGTGCAAAGAAAAATATTTTATGATATGCAGTAAAATGCTTAAAGAGTGGTTAATTCTGAGATACAGGACATTGCAAATTTAAATTTCCTTCATTTGGTTTATTTCATTTCATATTTTCTCTGAGACTGTATGATTTCTAAAAAGAAAGCATTAAAAAACAAATCCTTTTTTCACTGTAAAAAGGTAAGTTTGGTAGCTAGAGGTGTGGCTCAAGTGTGAGAATGCCTGTCTAGCAAGCATAAGGCTTTGATTTCAAACCCAAGTACTACCATAAAAGTAGTAATTTTGTGCTAGGTGTGGTGGTACATGCCTGTAATCCAATTATGTGGGAGGCAGAAACAGGAGGATCACAGTTCTAGGCCAGCCTGGGCAAAAAAGTTAGCAAGACCTTATCTCAACAAAAAAAAAAAAAAGTACTTAAATGTATTGTTCTGGCTGTAGGCTTTCCATACTTTTCCACGGTACTAAGTACATTAAAATTAAAAGCAAGCAATATAAACGAAAAACTAATTCAAAGCATCAATCGTTAAGTCAGGCTCAGAGGTATACATGACTGTAATCTTAGCTACTTGGAAACAGACAGGAGGATTTCAGTTTGAGAAAAGTCTGGGTAACTCAGAAGCCTTGGTAATACAGTTGAGACCCTTTCTCAAAAACACAATCCTCTGCCCCCTCAAAAAAAAACCCCCTAAAACACCAAAAAAAAAACAAACAAAAAAAACCCCACAACTACAGAAATAGAAAGCCAAACCTTTGTTTTAGCTCCTGTGTGATCAATTTCCTCTTCTGGGGTGTGTTCAGCATGACATTTTTGATGACCTCCTTCTTCCTGGTCAACATGCATTTTATCCTGGAAAGAAAATGTGTAACTGATTAAATATATATCATATCTATGTATCTATATACAGATATATAATATAATCAGAGACACACACACACCTTTCTCATAAAAGTGAATTACATCTTAAAGTTCAAGATTGTTTTTAGATGTGTGAACTTAGTGAAGTAGAAATTCATTTTTCAAATGGGAATAGTAACAAACAGATTAACAAGTAAAATAAAAAGATCTATTTGATGCTACATGAATAAATCTTGTTTCAGTCACCCATGACCAAGTAATTGCAAACTTGTTTAGTCAAATCAAACTAATAAATCAGGATTCACAATAGCTTACCAACAAAAAAGAGATCACTGAACTTGACATGAGAAATGTTTATAAAGAACTTAATATGAGAAAATAAAGTGAAAAAAGATACAAAATTTTTCAATTACATTTTAAATTTTTTTGGGCAGTACTAGGGTTTGAACTCAGGGCTTTGTGCTTGGTAGGCAGGCACTCTACCACTTAAGCCATGCCTCTAGCCCACATATTTTTAAAATGTAGCAAAATACTGAAAGAAATTAATCAAAACTTAGATGACCCTGAATTATTAAAATGCAACTTTTAAGGTTTTGTCCTTTTTATGTCTAAAAGAAACCTTAAATCCACACCCCCCTACACAAGGACTTTCCACTTGACAATGCTAAATAACAGATTTTTCTTGGACTCTTTCTTAATCCCATCCACCTGCAAAGAAGAAAGCTTAGACTACAGGAATCAGAATAGTTAGGGTTTTCTACCATATCTAGATTAAACAAATACATAATACCTAGAAAGCTATCTTGAATAAATGCTCATTTGTGCCAAACAGAAAAATAAGTGAGATAATTCTTTGAAAGATCAGTTATTCCTGATATTCCGACTTGTTCCTTCCAACTCTACAACCTCCCCAAGCCATGATGAAGAAGAGGTGAAAAAAAATGCATAGTGTTGAACTGGGGTCATGTGGAATGACACAAATATTTCATTAATTCTACATTAAGAAAAAATGTCAGTTAAATGATCACAATGCTTTATCACTTAAATTTTTATTTTGTATTTACTGAAAGAACTCTTCTATTATTTGTATTTTTATCTCTCATTATATATAAAGATAAACCAAACAGTTGATCAAAGGTATTTCTAATTTAGAATACAACTGTTCTGAACCACTTAATTCATTTGCGAATGATGATATACAATATCATCCTCTGTGCCATCAAGACCATTAGTGACCATTTGTTTAAAAATGGGTATTTAGGATTTTCTTAAAAACCACTAACACCTATTCTGCAAGTTTTATAATGGTGTTTTATCTCATCAGAAAAAGTCAATAGATTTTTTTTCAGTTAACGAACCAGACTAGTATTCTTTCCTTGAATGGTTTGACTACTGAAATTCCAAGGGATTACAATTGCCTTGTCATGCTATAGGATCAACAATAAAGCTCATATATGCACAGGTTCTGAGAATGATGACAGGACTGTTGACATAATGTCATATATTACCACTGTAATGATAACCCATCCCAATCTCATACCTATTAAAAAGTAGAAAACTATACCTTGTAATTCATATAAAATGGCAGTAATTTGTTAATGCTTTAAATGACTTTAAAAATTTGAAACCAGCAGGACACTGGTGGCTCACACCTGTAATCCTAGCTACTTAGGAAGTGGCAATCAGGAGGATCATGGTTCAATGCCAGCCTAGGCAAAATAGTTCCCATGACCCTATCTTGAAAAACCCATCACAAAATAGGGCTGGTGGAGTGGCTCAATATGAAGGCCCTGAGTTCAAGCCCCCTACGGGGAAAAAAAAAAATTGAAACAATCTTTGTATTCTCTCCTATACTCAACCACATATTCTCTTTAGTATTTGTTGAATAAGTAAAAAACACTTAAGAATAAGATCTAGAATCATTATCATGAGCAATAAGGCTTTCCCTGATCTGTCCCTTGATCTACCCTCTCAATTTCACTTCTTCTTGCTACTGTCCCCCCTCTACTCCTATATCCTGCACGTCAGGCACTCTTCTATTTGTTACAAGAAAAAAGGGTTTTCTGTCTCACAGTCTTTGTACTTGTTCTCTCTGCCTGGACAACTAACTATCCGCTCCTTACTCTCTCTCTTATCTTTCAGGCTAGCTTATTAAATGGCTTTCCTTATCAGTATCACAGCTAATTTCTACCATGTATCACCACTAATTTCCTCTACAAGTTATCTTCTACCAGAATGGCAGTCACAGACAGACATGGACCCTTTCTGTCTTTATTACCACTGTATCTGAAGTGCCTAGAAGAGTCCCTCCTATACATAAACAATAAAAAGATAATTCAAATGGTCAACAACTGAGAAAGAGTTAAATTGTGATACATCAGCATGAGCAACAGCAGCTTCTTTGATTCCAATTTTATTATATAGTCTAAAATGTGGTGACTTCATAGTGGTTTTCTGAGATGCTCTTATACTAAAGAAAAGCAGGCAGTCTTTATCATGATTTTTTCAGTGAAAACATGAGGACATAAAAATAATGGATTATAAACTGACCTTCAGGAGGAAAAAAAGGCTCTTACTGCTTTCACTAGTATATATCTAGGCTTCTTTATCTACCCCAGAGCCATCAATGTTAGCAATGAAGAAACAGTAAAAACAACTTATTTCCCTCTCTACACTGAGTTGGCTCACTTTTTTGAGAGGGGAGGGAGAGATTACTTTACAATACTTAGGCCTTTTTTATAAATTTCTGGATATAGAATTATAGAGAAAAATCCTGTAGAGAACCATTAAGAAAAAAGTACACAGGCAAGGTATGGTGGTATATACCTGTAATCCCAGATACTTGGGAGGCTGAGGTGAAAGAATCCCAAGTTCAAGACCAGCCTGGCCGGCTTGTGATACCATGCCAAATCACCCTCCAAAAAATAAAACACACACACACACACACACAATTCCCAAACTCAATCAACCAAACAAACCAACTACAACAAAACAAAAAGACTACATAAAGGACTAACATCATACTTTAGATGAAAAAGGATAAGGAAATAAACTACAGTTAATTCAATTTTATCAGGGCACAGATTTAAAAGGAGATAATATATATGTGAATGTGCCTGTCAACAGTGCTAAGTATAAGATTCAAAGTATCGAGGAGGAAAAAAGCAATTTTTTATATAAATTGTAAAAGGAATATTTAGGAACATCTTATCTATCTAGAAATCTCTTACATAAGGAACCTCAATGACCTAGAAATATTTAATAAGTCAAAAACACTCTTTGAAACAAGTATCTGAGTGACCAAAGCAGATGTCACAAATCCATGTACTTTATTCATAGGTGAGTTCTTTAAGTCCACATCAAAAACCATCTTAAAAAACCGGCAAACTAGATTTCCAGCCCACAGACAAATAGCAGCACTAAATAAGGAATGTCAAAGGAAATGGATGGGGGCTACACTACTATACACGGTACTACTCTTGTTTTATTTTCAGTTCCCAGGACTCACTAACACTACATATAGAAAACTACAGATCTCAGCAGAGGTATTTCAAAAAAAAGAGGCAAAGAAATGTGGAATGGTTATGAATAACCAGTCTTAGAAGGCATACAAAGTACTCCCAATTTTAGTAAAAGTAAATCTCAGTGGATTAAATTTATATGTGTGATATGCTATTGTGAATTATAATTTAAAAAATTAACTTTTCACTACTTATCTCTATGTTAACTTATGACAAATTGTCTCTTCACTAACAGATTAGGACAGTTCTTCCTCAATTCAAATAAGGAATAATATGATAAGAAAATGATACATGGGAAGCTTGAAAGAAAATGTCAATGACCTATAAAAGTACTTTATAGGCTACTGGTTGAATTTTGAAGAAATTTTAGAAGAAAAATTTATAAAATAATTGCTAATAAAAGCAGACAACTTTCAAAGGGAGAGATTGTCTTAAAATTCACAAAAGAAACACTACCTCCCCCTTTTTAGATTGGGTCTTGCTATGTTGCCCAGGCTCGTCTTAAACTCATGGGCTCAAGCAATGGTCCCACCTCAGCCTCTTCAGTAGCGTGGACTATAGGGCATACACTACCATGTCTGGGTGAAAAACACATTCTTAACATGCACAAACACAAGGAAAACTCTAGGGCAAATCTCCAACTACAGCTGGGAAGAAAAAAATCATAAATGCTATTAACAACAATTTACAAAGAATACACATAAAATGGTGAAAATTTTGTGCAATGCCATATATTCAAATTTCCTTAATATTCCTTTACCTATAGTACATCAAGAGTAAATTCAACGTCTCACAAAGTTTTCATAAAGAAAAAGTAGAAAATCTGTATTTGAATGTTATTGAATAGTATATTCCTCTGCTTGACACTAAATTATTTTCAAGCATGTATTTTCAGTCTAAAATAGATGTACGATTCGAAACTTACTCTAAATTGGTTTCATACATAAATCAAAAAAATCTAGCCATAACAATATTACTTCAAGCTCACATTCTGCACATAATGCTATGAAAGCTGGTAAGTCTCTCAACAGGGCATTATAACATAGAAGATTATTTAGTGCTTTTATAAAGACAAAGTTCACACTGATCCTATAGCAGAAATTCAAAGCCAAACCTCAGAAATTAGTGTATTTAACTATTAAAGAACCAGCTATGACTAAGACACTGTATTTGTGTTACGGATTAGAGGAACCTTACGACAGGATTTCTACATACCACATCATCTTTGTTTTCATTCTTAAATGAAGTTTCTGTTTCCATAGGAGCATCACTGTGATCACCCTCCAAATTTTGCTTTTCAATTACAGATGCACTAGCCACACTGAAGATTCCATGAATGTTAATACGAACTTTAACCTTTACTTTGGAATTATCACCATCAGACTGTGGAAAAACATTCTGAATAGTGAAGCTCCCTTAAGGAAAAAAGACCTTTGATCAGTTCATGAGCCTCAGGCTAGATTCATTAAATTTTTCACTTAATAATTTGACCATCGTCTTTAAGATAACGATAAAATTATGATTACAGCCTGACTAATAACTATGGAGCAGGCATTTCCCCCAGATTATCTTCATCATAACAAGCCTGGTATTAAAACTTGAATAAAAATTTAAAAATAAAAAATGAAGTAACTTGCCCCAAATAACCCATGCTAGGAAAAAAGACTAGGGATTCTCATCAAGGACAACTTGATTCACATACAATAAATAACTTAAGTTTCTTATAATACTGCTATTCTAAAACCAAACTGACAAAATTCAATTGATGACTTTGAAAACTACAGTAACTTTTTGCTGTAAAGCTTTATGGATCATAATCATTATGGTGCTTCACAAATAACACAATTCCAAACATTTTTTGGATTTCTCTAAACCCAAGTTAATGATACCTAATGTAAGAGAGAATATAAGCCCCTCCCCCACCAAAAAAATGGGTATTAAAAAACTCAACTAACCTTTCTTATAGATTGGTTGTATCCCAACATTCATTTATTGATGTTCTAACCCTGCCCCCAATCTGACTGTCACAATGTGAGTATATTTGGAGACAGGGCTATTTAAAGAGGTAATTTAAGTTAAAATAAAGACATTAGGTTGGGCCCTAATCCAGTATAACTGATGTCCTTATAAAAAGGAGAAATTTGGAAACAAACACACATAGGTATGTGAGAGAATGACATGTGAACATGTAAACAAAGCCACCTAACTTGTACTTATTAAAGCAGCCCTAGCAAACTAATACAACTTTCAGTAACTTCTATTGCTTTAAATATATGTGAAAATACTTAATTCTCTCCTTTTTAGTCTAATAAAACATTATTCCTTCTCTTTAAATGCTACAAATTGTATTTTGTTTTATATCGTTTGAAAAAAATTATGGAGTTAAAATGGGTATGCATCTTTTATTCTCACTTTCATATTCATTTAGTAATACTCATTCTAATTACTACCAGTGAACTCAGTTTAAAATCAGAAGTCAGCACAATTTGAATTTGACTGGAGTTTTTCCATAAAAATCTTTACACAAACTTTTCAGGCCAATTATAGTAGCATTTTAAATGTAGAAGTCAAAATGAATTAAGAATATTCAAACCTGCTGTTATTGTAGAAACAAACCAAGCACTAAAAAGTGCATAGGTACAAAAAAAAGTACGAATACCTTTCATTAAATCCAGGGCTGGCTTAGCTGAAATTTGCTGTTTCCTTGATTCTATATATTATTTATAAAAGGCCAAAAAATAATGGAATTTTTTTTCCTTGAAATCTCTTACCAATTCTTGGATCAGGGTAAGGCACTTCATGCAAATTTGTATAAAATGCTTCTAGTTCAAATGGTTCCTTCTTGTGGAAAGTAATGACTTTTGAGAATGGGGCAGGATGGTTCTTAGAGAATACTTCACATTCCCTACAATGCAGTTGGAAAGACACTCACTTAAAAACAAATGGAAAGTTGCCTATGACTCTAATTAGCAGAATCAATTTCATTCTTAATTTGTAAGTAGCAATTCCAAAGATCTCTATGCATAAATATAAAGAAACCAATTATTCATTTTGCTACAAACATGCACTTTGACAAGTTCATGGCTCAAAGTCTTTAGAATGTTTTTAAGTAGACAACTGTACACTACTAAAAGAGAAAAAAATTACCCAAGAATATGCATATTTCCAGGGCAATACACAGGCATTAATTTTTTTGCTCAGAGGACCAAGTCCTGCCCATTAACCTCCAAAATACTAGTCATATGTAACCCTTTTTATTCCAGCTCCCTTTTTAAAAAGCCCACTTATTTGGAAAAAAAATTGTAAACTTACAGAAAAGTACACAACTAAAGAAAGGACAAGGAATATCTGTATAGCCTTTACCTGGAGTTGCTACTGTTAAAGAGTTTTGTTCTATTTGTCTCATGGATGCACATACGCTACATATTTCCTCCTGAACCAAGTGAAAGTGATATATTTTTTGCAGCTTTTTACCCCTAAATACATCAGATTATACTTCCATTGATATTTTAATCTACCATCCATATCCCAGACTTTTTCAGTTGATATAAAAATACCTTTGCATTATTTTCAAAAAATTTTAAACTTACATAGCAATTCCTAATCCTTACATAGTATAAAAGAAACAGTTTTTGACTATTGCTCACTGTTTAATACTAAATATCAACATCCTACTGCCCTAATTATGCAAAGTTTGGAAAAAACCCACAATGACGAACCTTATTCCTCCACCCTTATTTTCAAGAAGCTACCAAAATCTTTCCTCTTTCTTATTGTAGTCATCAGGATGTATTAACATTTCAATTTGGCTCCACAAAATTTTCTTGTGATTTTTTTTCTTATATTTAGATTTTCTAAGAAAAGGCCTAAATAGATATTGTAGTTGTTAAAAATGGTAACCTCTGTAAAATGGGCTAAGGGAGCAAGAGTACGGCAAATGCAGGTCTTGTGAGTTTTTACATTTCCATATTGCAATTTTCAATTGAAAATGAGCATGTTTTACTTTTATAATAAAACAGGAATTAATACACATAGGTTAATATATAGCTTATAAGCTATATATTATTTTTACATTCTTTTTTCTAACACTTTGTTTAAAAGCATTTAACAGAATTTTAAGTATAAATCCTTCTAATTTAGAAAAAGTAGGTTTAACTGGTTAAAGATTTATGATAGCTCTAACCAAGATTTTAAATATAACTTACCCAGTTCCATCTTCAAAAGAGGTCTTCCACCTTAGTGTGATTGAATAAGGAACAAGGTCTGTTATAGAAAATTCACGTACCTTAAATGCTGGTGAGAGAATTGCACACTGAAAATAAGAAATATACCATATTTAGATCAACAAATACAAACCATACCCTAAGTTAACTCTGACTGAACAGTTCAATAAAATTCTTTCTAAAAAAATTTTTTTGGTTTATTTATTCATTTATTCATATGTGCATATATTGTTTGGGCCATCTCTCCCCCCCACCACCCCCACCTCATTCCTCTCCCCCCAACCCTCCTCACTTCCAGGCAGAACCTGTTCTGCCCTCTTCTCCAATTTTGTTGAAAAGAAGACACAAGAAATAATAAGAAAAACAGCATTTTTGCTAGTTTGAGATAAGGATAGCTGTACAGAGAGATTCCTAGCATTGCTTCCATGCACATGTGTATTACAACCCGAAATGGTTCATTCCTACCAGACCTCATCACTACTTCCCAGTCCCCTTCTCATAGTGACCTCTGTCAGCTTAAGATTACTATGTTAGCTCCTCTACAGTGGGCACACATCAAACTCTTAATAAATTTCTTTTAGCAAAATTTCAGCATTTAAAATATTATTGTTTTTTGTTGGGTGAGATTGCTCACATCTATACTCCTTCCAGCTACTTAGAAGGCATAGGAGGACTGCAGATCCAAGGCTACCTGTATCGAAAAGCATTAAGGCTGTATCTTAGAATGAACTAAAGCAAAAGGGGCTGGAGGTGTAGCTTAGTGGTAAAGTGCTTGCCTAGCAAGTGTAAGGCCCTAAGTTCAGTCCTCAATACTTTCACAAACACAAAAATATTATTGCTTTTCAGTAATGACTAGTGAAACTTTAAAGGGGCCAGAGTACTTCTTATGTGACCTTACAAAATATTTTCAAATCTCCAAAGGGAGTTTTAAATAGAATAATTTTAAGAATTCCTAAAATAAATGTTTTTTCAGTATAATACATAACATATATATATACATATAATATAATCCTATTATAGTTTAAAAATTTGAGAAAGAAACAAGATTTATGTAGCATGCATAACTGCAACTTACTTTGGCCAATTGACAGGTGGTTCAAACGTTAATATTAAAAGGCCTATTTAGACCTATTATCTATTTCTGGCACAATATCCATTCAAAAAGTCATCATACCTGTAGTGCACATCCTCTGGCAACAGCCTCATCAGCATTTAAGGTGGTGCTTATGTCTTTGAGGAAGAACCGAGTGATCTGTTCCTTCACTGCAGGAATCCGTGTGGCTCCCCCTACAATTTCTATACTGCTTATATCTTCACGCTGTAAGTCTAGAAGGTAAAATGTTTTCAAAAAAAAAAAAAAAAGGTAGTCTTAAGTGTGTGGAAGTACCTTTTTTTTTTTTTTTTTTAAAGGTAGAATTTTGCGGGGAAGGGAGATAGAGGAGAAAGACGGAGAGGGTGAATCTAAGATACACCATAAGCACTTGTGTAAATGTCAAAATGTACCTTCAGTACAACTACAACATGTAAATAAATCAATAAAAGAAAAAAATACCTAAAAATGGTGGAATTTTTACATGCTCAAAAGAAAATGGGAACAACACAACTTGTGGGAAAAGGAAAAATTTAATAAATATTAATTATCTATGTGATAGGCACTGGACTTGGTCCAAAAGACATAGTGACAATAGGAACAGACAAACATATCAGAAGTTTTAAAGGCTCTCTTGTGTATGTTTTGATTTTCTAACTTTCACCTTACAAATCTCTATTGAAGGTTTTTGTTTTTTTTTTTGTAGTACTGGAGGTTTGAATTCATAGCCTCATGCTTTCTGGGCAGGTACTCTACTACTTGAGCCACTCAGCCTTTCCTCCTGATCTCTGCCCTCCTGAGTAGCTAGGATTATAGGCGTGAGTCACCAGCACCTGGCTCTACTGAAAGTATTTTTAACTGATTACTAAAAATCTTTTTAAAAAACAATGGCCCTATTCTACTTTAATTTTATTTTAAAACAGTCTATACTTACATATAAACACCTCAAAATAGAACTAGCATTAGTTTTATGATATAAACAATAAAATGAACAAGGAAGAATTCTCACAAAAATCAGCTCTGTAGTGCTGTATCTTAAGAATAAAGAATGAGTCATGGGCCAGGCATGGTGGCACACACCGCTAATTCTAGCTACTCGGGAGGTGTAGATCAGGAGGATCACGGTTTGAGGCTAGCTGGGGCAAAAAGTTACTGAGACCAGCAAACAAACTGGGTGTGGTTATATGCCCCTGTAATATCAGCTATGTAGGTGGCACAGTTAGGAGGATCCTGGTCCAAGTCTGGTCCTGGGCAAAAATGTGAGATCCTATCTGAAAATATCTAAGGCAAAAGGGCTGGAGGTGTGTATGTGTGGCTGAAGTGGTAGAGCACCTCGCCAGCTGTGAGGCCACATTCAAACCCCAGTATAGTACCTCACACACACAACAGAAGACTGAGATAATAATCTTAGAAATGAAAAATTAAAATCTTTCAAAGAAAATGAAGTTTTTACTGCTGTTGGTATAGTTTCTAGAGTACAGTAATTTCCACTTACTAGCTTGTTCCATTACTGCTTTTAAAGGTGGTTCAACCCTAGCCAAGAGGGAAGCACATAATTGTTCAAATTGAGTCCTGTAAGAAAATGAAGTATTATTTTGAGATTAAAAAGTTGACCTTATCTTCTTAGTAGCAGGACAAAAAAAGACATGATATAAACAAAATTATCAAACATTTTTCAAACTGAAAACATACATGGTACCTGTTCATTTTACTAGAAACATCAAGGTCATTCATGAAACACTCAATGTTCAATGGAAGATCAGATGCATTTGCACTCATTAGCTTCTTTAGTTTTTCACATTCCTGATATAAACGCAACAAGGCCCGAGAGTTTTCTTTCACATTTATCTTATATTTGGTCTTGAACTCATCGCAGAAGTAGTCTACTAAAGCCTCATCAAAGTTCCTGCCACCCAAATATGGGTCAAAGGTAGTAGCCAACACCTGTTTAACCAAAAAAGCAGAACTAAATTTTTAGAAATACATATTCTTAAACATAAAAAAAAAAAACAGAAAAACTTGTACTATTATAATAAAAAAAAGTGAAAACAAAGCTCAAGAACCTGTCCAACTCACAGGGTGACAAATTTGCAATCAGAATTAATTATGCCTTGTATCTAATATATTTCCCTTTTTGCTTTACAGTTACAAATCCACATATCATAACTGAAACAGTAACTGTAATTCTAAAACAAATGAATTCCAATAATTCACATTCTGTTGTTCTACAACAGCACTGAACCAAAAATTAAGTTTAAGATAACAAAAGAAACATTCCAAGGATATGAACAACATAAAAAAAAATCTAAGAAAAGCAGACCCAAATATTATATTGTAAATACTATAATTGGTTAATTTATAGGTCGGGATTTAGATCTTTTGACTATTATTTTAAAAAAAACTTATTTTTATAAAAATACAAAACAAAATGTGAGAAAAGAAGAAAACAGAAACAGAATTTAATAAGCTTGTTAGCAGTAGGCATCAAGCTAGTAGTTGTGTAGAATGCAGTAATAGTGGCATAGAACTTGAGCACTAAATGACCAAGACATCTCGTCTCTCTCCCTAGGACAAAGTACTACTTAAAATCAACACAAAAAATGAATCCCACTACTAGTGTGGTTCTTTAGCAATTTCTTCATCAAGACGATGGTGTGTAGGTATGTGTGTGATGGGAAGCACCACAACAGGATGAGAGTCCAATCTAAATGTAGTCTTCTCGACAGACTAAAATAGCGAATTCATGTACAGACTATTCTTCAAGTCCAGTATTACCCAAAATTAAATTCAAAATTATGCAAAATTATCTTTGTATATGATCAAATGCAAATGTGTATTCTTCCGTGTATTCTTGTTTTTCAATAAAGTTAAAATTTAAAGCTAAGAGCCAAGGATTAAACCAATCTATACCTCAAACTACCCTGTATTTGGCAAGAGTCATCTTTCTTTAATTTTCTGATTATAAGGATGTTATTATAGTACTATAAACTGTAGGACAAGGTTTTTTACAGAACTTGATAACCCAAAGCACTTTATCTTCTAAGTAAACTCTATACTCACATGCATAATGGAGAAACAGAGTGTAACTCTGGACACATAATTTATGTAAAAATGAATACAACACAAAATATAAATTATTTGAATATAACCACATTCAAGTTAAAGTAAACAATGCTACATTGTAGAAAATTATAATTAGGACTTCTAGAAAGGTTTTTTTAGAAAACATTTTCTGTAAGTATATTTTTGGATAATCTGTGTTCCCTAATGACTGGCTTAATCCCTAAAAACAGTAATAATAATAAAAAAGTAAACATAATAAAAATAGCTACTGTATGCTAGGCATTTCAAGCATTCTATGTATGTATTAATTCATATTTTCCTCAAAAAATCCTGGGAAGTAGTTACTGATATTGTCCTCAGACAAGGAAACTAAGGTTTAGGGAAGTTAAGAAATTTGTTCATAATCACAGTTTTAAAGGGCAGAGGCAGGATAAGCCCAGTTAGATTCTTTATATAGTCTGTGCTCTTTATCATTAAAATTATATACAGCAAATCATTTATTTACTTACTTTAAGTTTTCCTTTGTTAAAAGCACAAACCGAGACCTGATAGGCAGAATGTCCCATATCAATAAATACTACATTTCTTGGTTTGTCATCTAATGGGGGAAGATCCTGTTTATAAATTCCATATGCTAGTGCAACTGTGTAAGAACAAAGAATTAGATTAGTTTTACTATAGCAATTACTTAGAAAACAAGTAAGAGGTAAGTCACTTTCATACTGTACTTTATAACACAGTATAGTAGTCTGTACTATTAGATTCAAAGTAAATCAACTTTTCTTAGTCTGGTTAGTTTTATTTTTTTCCCTGCCCATCTATAACTCTGTAACAGCAACCATTATTCTAATTTGAATATGAACTTAACCTCTGCCAAAATGTTGTACTTCCAAGCAACAAGCTTACAAAAAGCAGTACATGACAAGAATTTTTCTAAGCAGCTGTGTAATTAATTAGAAAACCTATTTTCAAATTGCAGAGTAGTTACCTGCAGTAGTTTCATTCATCAGCCTTAAACAATTCAAACCTGCAACCTGGGCTGCAGCCATCACAGATCTTCTCTCAGCATCAGTGAAAAAGCTGGGGATCTGATTTAAAAACAGTAAGAATATTACTTTGACAGAATAGATTTTACTTAAATATTTCATCAATTGGAAAACATAGACTAACTATACTAAAACTTATGGAAGTTTAAGGAAAAGGATGTTTTAATTAATCCTATTAATTATTTTTGAGGCTTGACAATTTCTACACCATGAATGTCTGACTTAAGTACAAGGACTAATACAGTAACTAATCATAAGGCTTAATAGCCAAACTTCTGTTAACCTGAACACCTCCTAGTTGTTATGGTCTGGATGCTGTTTATATCCACAGAAGCATGTTGGAAGCCTAATTTTCAATGTGGCACAAGGTCCTTTGGCTAATTGAGAAGCATCCCCTGGTAAAGGGACTGTGAGACCCCAATCTTTTTGGGTTCCTGAAAGACAGTGTGCTACATTTCTTCCACACACAATTACACACCATGACACTGTTAGATACTCACCAGAGGCCAAACCAATGGTACCATGAGTTTTCAGCCTCCAAAACTGTGAGCTAAATAAGCTCTGTTTTTTTTTTTTATATATATATAAAGTTAGTCTGTCTTTGGTATTTCAGTATAGAAATGAAACTGGACTAATACACTGGACTATTTAAAATATCTGTTCATCTTTAATAATGAAAATCTGAAAATCTAAGACTCTGCAAAAATGAGACTAGTTATGTTATGTGTATAGTAACATATCCATAGAATGGAATTCTATGTAGCTATGATAATGAGACAAATCTTCATTGTTAGGAAATATATATATTTTTTTCTCTTGATCTCTTTTTTTTTTATTCATTTATTTACATGTGCATACACTGTTTGGGTCATTTCTCCCCTGTGCCCCCAACCCCCACCCTTTCCCCCCACTCCCCCCCTCGCTTCCAGGCAGCACCTGTTTTGCCCTCATTGTCAGGAAATATTATCTTTATGTCAAAAAAGAGCATGCAAGCTGGGTGCCAGTGGCTCACACCTGTAATCCTAGCTACTCAGGAAGGAGTGATCAGGAGGAATGCAGTCCAAACCCAGCCTAGGCAAGTAGTTCTCGAGACCTTATCGCGAAAAACCCTTCACAAAAAAAAATAGGGCTGGTGGCTCAGTATTTAAAGCCCCAATACTACAAAAAAATAAAGGGGGGGGAGCATGCATAGCATAATTTCACTTTTGTGAATGTTTATATAACCAGAAGATTAAAATTCAAACTTTTTAAAAAAGGTTCTATTTCCAAAGAGGGAAAAATATATATTGCAGGGAAGTTATGATGAACATGTACTTCTTTTACAATCATTCAGAAACATTAAGTGTATTTTGACTAAAAAGTTAAACTCAGACTTAAAGCTTCAAAGATTTATATATACTAATTTCTGTAAAACTAAAAAGTACTTTGATTTAGCCCACAGATTTCTAAAAAGGAAATAAGTGTGTTCAAACCAAATAACTTGGAGCCCTTCCAATTTCAAGTTTTAAGTAAGTAGTCTCTTTTGATTGTATTGTTTTTTGAATTTTCAATTTCATTTATCAGATATTAATAATAGGAAACAACCTGAATTTTCTTTGATAAATTTGATTATCTTGACAAATCTAAAGTATATAATGTATGGTTCATCTAATACTCATTGAACATATCTGAACCAGGCACTTTTTAAATTAGGAACTTTTTATTTTTAATTGTTAGGAATATAGTAATGCATAAAACAGACAAAATACCTGCCGTCACAGAGCTAACAACTACAGAGATGGATTTTAAAACTTTGCATCACTCTGACATGTTCAAATGGCAGTATAATAAGGGGTGATAAGCATAGACTTGGGAGTGAACTTTCTCTATGTCTAAATTTTTTCATGTGTAAAGTTGAAGTTAGTAATATCCTACCTCACGGGGTGATTTGAGGATCAAATAGGTTAATATATATAAAATCCTCCAACATTGGTTAGTTAATGGTAAACTCCATTATTTGCTATTAAACTAGTAAACTTTACTTTTTAGTAAACTTGATGAAGAGTTCACATTTTTATGATTCTATTTTTCTATGATGTGAGACTTTTGAACTTATGTAATCAAGTTTAGTAGCAGGAATATATTCACATTAAAGTTACATTAATTAAAAACAATAGTCAATGGAATTTCACAAGTGAGGGTGGACAATTATAAGTTTTGCTAAGATTCTTTAAAGAAAGATCTTTTATTCCTGACATAGAATATATATGACCTCAGATTTCTAAATGGAAATTTTCAGCCTATGCCATAAAATATTAAGGTGCTTGGAAGTGGGAAGAGCTACTTAGGAAGATTCTTAGGTGTAAGGGGCAGGTTCAGCAGCCATTAAATAATCACATTAGTTTTTAAAGATTGACTAATTAACACAATTGATTTTATAGGAAATTCAGTCCTAAAATTTACCAAATAAGGTAATTTTTTAAAAAAGAAAAGTGAAAAAGAATTTAGGTTATTTGCTGAATAAGAGACCAAAAAGGAAAAGAAAACATTTCCACAGAACACTAATATATTGGAAAACATGATTCACTTAAGTAAAACTTACTGAAATTACACAGTCAGCCACTGGTTTCCTCAAAGCATTTTCTGAAGTCTCTTTAAGCTTGGCCAACAGCATTCCAGTAACCTGCTCAATGGCAAAAGGTCTCTCTTCTTCTAGGTACCGCACCTAAAACCAAAAGTTGAGATATTAAGTCATTTAGTGAGCATCTAAAGTGAAAAAATAGTCGAAGTTTTATTCAACAAAGACTCATTCTAGAATCACCTCAGTGAATAGTGACAGTGCTTCTCATTCTGAGGTTCCAAGATCTTCATAGTACTAAAATCACATAAATTATTTTCAAACATCTTTAACCTCTCACATCCCCACTTCCCACAAAAGCAATTTTTATCATTCATTTTCCAAGTGTGATACAGTACGCAGGACAGAGAAAAAGATCTTTCTTTCAAAGTCAGTGTTTGCTGTAGGTTTAAAGCTTTAGTTGTACAGTTTTAAGAAAAGGAAATAAAAGCATCTGGAGAAAAAGGAAAAAGTTTTTTTTTATGAAAAAAGGCAATTTAATATGTATTACTCTGGAGTTTCTGGGGGACAAACATGAATTAAATATAAAATTAAATACGAAATTAAAAAATTACCTTAGACCAAATCACTGCTCAATTTATACACAGTTTTAAGACTAAGGTATATGTAGGCATTCGAAATGAAATGAGGAACCTGTACTTCATTCAAGTACTCAAACTTTTATACTACAATAGTCACAAAATTTAAGAGCAATACAAAGCTACCTTAGAACCCACATAATATAACTATATTTAATACAATAAGGAAAAAGCCTAAGTCTTTTACCTCTGGATCCCCAGAGTAATTTCATTTCATAAAACTAACTGTGTATGAGTTCTGGAAACCTCTATCAAGCAGCACAATGCATTTATACATACAATTATATAAACATAGTGAAGTAAATCAGACCTAAAATTCATGTCCCTTTGTTTCCAAATCCATTTACAAGTAAGTTCACAAACAAATGCTATGTCAAATTAATGCCTTTAAAATAAGGGATAGAGAGAAATAAAGCACACCAAATTAAGAGAAAATGAATACCATGGTCTTGGTGTGACTATTGGATATACAATACATTAGTCCTTTGTATAAGAACATTGAAAAAGTTACATGAAATAAACATCAAGGAATATTTAAAAATGTGTAAGAATAAGTGGATAAGATGCATGAGGAGTTGAATAATCTTCAGAAACAAATATATAATAAATGGATAAAATGCATGAGGAATGCTAATATTCAGTCTTCAAAAGATGAAGACAGCTGAGTGCTGTGGCTCACACCTGCAATTTGCAAAGGAATTGAAAGTTCCCAAAAATAGTTTTATTGAGATACAATTCATGTAGCATAAAGTACACAATTCAGTGGTTTTTAGTATATTCATAAAGTTTTGAACCATAATTGTAGAACATTTTTATCACCATCACACCCCCCCCAAAATTATACCTGCTAGCAGTCACTCCTGATTTCTCTTTCCTCTTACCCTTAGCAACTAATCTACTTCTGCCTATATGGATACGCCCTTTTCTGGCATACTGTATGTGGCCTTTTCTTTTGGGGCTCTCTTACTTAGCATGCTGTCAAAGTTCATGCATGTTGTGATATCAGCATTTTATTCCTTTATATGGTCAAATAACATTCCATTGTATAGATATATCATATTTTGCTTATCCACTCATCAGCTGATTGACACTTGAATTATTTCTACTTTTTGGCTACTGCAAATAATACCGTCATGAATACTCCCATATAAATTTCCATGTGGATCTACATTTTCCACTTTCTTGGGTACATACACATATGAGTCATAGAGTAACTGTGTTTTGAAGTATGCCAGTTTATTGTCTTGGGATATACAATTAGAAATCAAGAATGAATCTCTTAAAGGAAAGATTTGCTTTCACACTTCTGTTACAAGATTCTTCTAACTTAGAAAAACTGAGAGCAATTTAGCACACTTAATGGGTATACTTTTTTAACCACATATGCCTCTGTCTTTTTTCCTAAAAGCTTTTCATGTGTTACAAATCTCCAAATAATAATTTCTTCCTTGACAGTGAAAGTGTTATTAATTTAAAATTTGTTATCTAAATTAGATTTTTTGCATTCACTAAAACTGCGTCTTAGCTGTGTATGTACTATATCTTGAGGAAAAAAGGTTAAACTACAAATTATAAATAGCAACAATATCGTATTTAGTCCAAGATGCATCTGTACTCTGGGAACACACAGCTTACCTTAACCCCAGCACTTCCGTTAGGCATTTTCTGCAGTTCATAGGGTAGCCTGATTCTCTCAGTTTGCACAATGGGATCATCAAATGATCGCCCATGAAGCTTTTTGAAGCCATGAATTGTATTTCTTACATTTGTGACTATCTGTTGGCAGTAGACACTTGTGTTATCAATTACTTAAAAACACTAAATAAAATACCATGCTAATACTTAAAACCACCAGGTTCCTCTATCCTACAAATTCAAGTTCACAATTAGGCATAGTCCATTCACTTTTCTGGTTTCCAACTGATAGTAGACTTATAAAATAAAAATGTATGTATCTGAAGCACTGTCTCCCAAATTCTCTTATCCCAAAATCAGTGTCTTCAAAAGAGATTAAGATTTTTCAAATACTGTAACGAAAATCTTCCCATAACTCATCTTTGTTTCCCTCAACACTTCTGCTCAATGAATGAGTACCTTTGATTTCTCTTTTTTCCACTTTTATGTGTTTTTTTTTAAACTGTACTTTTATTATCCAGTTTTTCTCTTCTTCTCAATATCTAAATTTTGTGAAATTTCTCATGTACTAGTATATTGCTTCCACTGCTGAGAATTGCACATGGGCTAGTAAATTAAAACCCCTTCTGTGTAGCATGGTGCTTAATTAAAGTGTCATCATTTGTAAATGACCTGTACTTTTGCAAAGTATTTTTTTGTGAAACTAGAACATGTAGTTCAAACTATAGACTATAACTGAGATATAGTATCTGCCCTTAGTAACCTTTAAAGTCAAAAGATCTTAATCTTCAATTATGAGATAAAAACTATGGGGGTGTATGATTTAGTTTTCAGGAAAAATGTTTTTATAGGTTGCTTTCTTTAGAGACTCTCATCTATGATATGCTTAGAAGATCAGAATGAGATTAAAAACTAAAATGAAAGGGCCATTTTTACACAAACTCAACATCTGCGTCCAATACAAAGTAGAAAATAAAAACACTTTTATATACATGTAATTATAAAAGACAGCTTTGCTAAAAATCATAAGCAAAATTTGTAGATGAATGACTCGTGAGGAAAAAAAGCTTCATTAAAGAAAATTACTTTAAACCCAGGTATATATAAAATGAAAGAAATAAATCCTAAGAGATTTTGATTTAGAGAGGTAAACAAAGTCCAAAAAGAATCAAGCTGTAATACAAAATATTAAAAATTAAGCTGGGCATGAGTGCTCACGTCCGTTAATTCTACTGCTGAGTCAACAGAGGGGAGAATGGTTCAGACCAGCCCAGGCAAAGTTTGAAGACCTCATCAAAACCAATTTTAAAAAGCTAGCATCTTTACGATCTTGGATCCAGCTAGTGAAAAGCATATATAGAACATGTCCAAGCAAGCATTAAATGAGACATGTCCAAGCAGGCTATACACTTGAGACCTTATCTCAAAAATAACCAAAGCAAAAAAAAAAAAAAAAAATCTGGCTGGAGGCGTTGCTCAAATGGTAGAATGCCTGTCTGCCTAGTACCACAAAAACAGATAAATGTTAACTTTCTATTTATAATTATTTCAGAAGCCTAGAAATATACACTCAAATACTTAGATTTCATGTAAAATAATGGTAACCACATTGGGTAACCCTGGAAATTAACTCTTCAATTATCCTCCTTCTTTTACAAAGACATTGCTTACTAGTCACTGAAGTGTATTCTAGATAGAATATCCCTCACTGAAAATGACCACACAGGGAAATACTAACTCACATGATAGCAAAGTCTGATTTCATAACTAAAGATTTTTAAATAAAAATCAAGGAAAATTCAAGCAAAACAAAACATATCTAATAAAACACAAAGATACTGGGATGCCAAATTTACAATTCTCAATTACACAGCAGGGAATTAGTTACCATGACTGGGGTAATTCTTTCTGTAAGTCAAAACATCCACATTAACAACTTACCTGACTCTTAGCTGCATTTCCAATGGCTCGAGTTCTTGATCCCAAAGATATACAAGCCCTAAATAAGAAAAAAAAAGTTTATATTACTCCTCTTTTCCTTCTCCTTACACAAAAATAAATTTAAAAGGATTAAGATAATCATATTATTTACAAAACAAATAATATAAATAAAAATTTTAACACATTTTTGAACTTTCCTAAACAACCAAATGGTGGTAATAACAAATGTTAGAATTTTTCAAAATGCCCTCTAAAATTTTGTTTCCCTAAATTGCTTCTCCAATTCTGTGGTATACCTATTACTAAAATTAACAGTATTTGAAGGAAAGCACAGCCTTGATTAATCCTGGTCTGGCCACGAACAGTGCAGTACCCTTGGATAAAATTTATTGAGGGATTAGGGGAGGGAATACTGGCAAATGCTTTAAATACCTGGCACATAATAAATTACTACATACATAACTGCTATTTTAATTACTGCATTTAAATGAAACATAAAACAAGTATAGAATAACATTGTTTATCAATACCATTGCATGTTATGATTCAAGAAAATGTTCAATTAAACATTTATAGGCAGTGTGTATATATAAGCCACAATCCCTGTTCTTGGGAATTTAGTCTGCCGAAAAAATAAACACAATGACAAAAGGTAGAGTAGTCACTGTAAATAATAGGGCTTAGGACAACTTATCTTCGACAAAGGAGCTAAAAATATACGATGGAGAAATAGCAGCCTCTTCAACAAAAACTGCTGGGAAAACTGGTTAGCAGTCTGCAAAAAAACTGAAACTAGATCCATGTATATCACCCTATACCAAATTTAACTCAAAATGGATCAAGGATCTTAATATCAGACCCCAAACTCTTAAGTTGATACAGAAAGAGTAGGAAATACTCTGGAGTTAGTAGGTATAGGTAAGAACTTTCTCAATGAAACCCCAGCAGCACAGCAAACTAAGAAGATAGCATAGATAAATGGGACCTCATAAAACTAAAAAGCTTTCTGTTCATCAAAAGAAATGGTCTCTAAACTGAAGAGAACACCCACAGAGTGGGAGAAAATATTTGCCACTATACATCAGACAAAGGACTGATAACCAGAATATACAGGGAACTTAAAAAACTTAAATTCTCCCAAAACTAATGAACCAAAAAGAAATGGGCAAGTGAACTAAACAGAACTTTCTCAAAAGAAGAAATTCAAATGGCCAGAAAACACATGAAAAAATGCTCACCATCTCTAGCAATAAAGGAAATGCAAATTAAAACCACACTAAGATTCCACCTCACCCCTGTTAGAATAGCCATCATCAGCAACACCACCAACAACAGGTGTTGGCGAGGATGCGGGGAAAAAGGAACCCTCTTACACTGTTGGTGGGAATGTAGACTAGTACAACCACTCTGGAAAAAAATTTGGAGGCTACTTAAAAAGCTGGACATCGATCTACCATTTGATCCAGCAATACCACTCTTGGGGATATACCCAAAAGACTGTTACTCCAGAGGCACCTGCACATCCATGTTTATTGCGGCACTATTCACAATAGCCAAGTTATGGAAACAGCCAAGATGCCCCACCACTGACGAATGGATTAAAAAATGTGGTATCTATACACAATGGAATTTTATGCAGCCAAGAAGAACGAAATGTTATCATTCGCTGGTAAATGGATGGAATTGGAGAACATCATTCTGAGTGAGGTTAGCCTGGCTCAAAAGACCAAAAATCGTATGTTCTCCCTCATATGTGGACATTAGATCAAGGGCAAACACAACAAGGGGATTGGACTTGAGCACATGATAAAAGCGAGAGCACACAAGGGAGGGGTGAGGATAGGTAAGACACCTAAAAAACTAGCTAGCATTTGTTGCCCTTAACGCAGAGAAACTAAAGCAGATACCTTAAAGCAACTGAGGCCAATAGGAAAAGGGGACAGGAACTAGAGAAAAGGTTAGATCAAAAAGAATTAACCTAGAAGGTAACACCCACGCACAGGAAATCAATGTGAGTCAATGCCCTGTATAGCTATCCTTATCTCAACCAGCAAAAACCCTTATTCCTTCCTGTTATTGCTTATACTCTCTCTACAACAAAATTAGAAATAAGGGCAAAATAGTTTCTGCTGGGTATTGGGGGGGGAAGAGGGAGGGGGCGGAGTGGGTGGTAAGGGAGGGGGTGGGGGCAGGGGGGAGAAATGAACCAAGCCTTGTATGCACATATGAATAATAAAAAAAAAAAACAAACAAAAAACAAAATAGGGCTTAGGAAAAGCAAGAGGCAGCACCTTCTGAATTAAGACTTGAAAGGAAATAAAAGCATTTAGTATGTATCTGTCTTGTGAAAAAGGACATTCCTGGTATATAGGTATAGCTGTGGTTTGGATATAATTAGTTCCCAAAAAGGTCATTTGCTTTCAATCTTGGTTCCAATATAATGACACTGAGGTGATGGAACCTTTAAGAGGTAGGACCTAGTGTGAAATGATTAGATCATGGGTACCATCCTCAGAAGGGCTAATATCTACTTCACAGGAGTAGGTTAGGACTCCCATGACTGGGTTAGTTCTCAAAAAGAGTGGGTTGTTATAAACTGAGACCACAACATGTTCTTGGTCCCTTCTGCATGTAGCAGGTCTCCTTTCTAATGGGATATAGCCAGGGGTCCTTGCTGGAATACCAGCACTGTACTGTTGAAATTCTCTAGCCACCATAATCATGAGCCAAATAAACCTCTTTATAAGTTACCCACTCTCAGATATTTTGTTGCAGCAACATAAATTAAGACATATATAAGCCAGAGTAATTGAGCTTCGTAAAAACTAAAGTCAGAAGATTTCTCTGCAGAACACCCTCCAATTGTGCCGTTTCACAAAGTACATCCAATAAAGCTCTTCGTGGTCTGTTATGTAAATTCAATCCAGGCACAACTGGTCTTATTTCCAGACTACGTCATAGTCATGCAAAATCATACAAAGGCCTTTACATATGCTGTTTCCTTTTTCTGACCATCTCTAAATACATCCCTATGTACTCTGCTCCAATGACAGCTTATCAGAGATACCTGACAACCCTATGTAAACATTTCTGCACCTACTCAACAGAGTCCCATAGTTTATTCAGTTTTGTTTTTCTCCATAACACATATCATCTGATAAAATTTGTTTACCAACTGTAATGCCACACTGGAATATGAACTCTGTAAGAGTAATGTGAATTTTGATCTGGTAGCCACTACTCACTTGTGGCCAGTAAAATTTTGTCACGTTTAAGGTATTGCCAAATATAGTTAGTGGATATACACAGAACTGGATTAACTAGAACAGATACTGTACAGAACTCAAAGTTGTAATGGACAGACAGCATTGTTTTGGTACATAGTAAAGACATTTAGTTGAATGAACAGAATGATTGTTCCTAAAGGTAATGTTAATTTGGAGACTAGGGAGAACACAACATGGCTTGTTTCACAGGCCACTGGATAAGATGGTATCAGGACCAGACTGTGTAAGGTCTCATATACTAAACTATGAATTTTAAAATTTATTCAGTAGGCAGTGGGAATTCATCCATTGAGAGGGTAATGTATAGTGATACATAATACAAAATGGAGAGGTAATACAGTAAACCCACTTAAGTTATTTACTACATGTGGTTTTGGCCAAGAGTGGTCAAAAATAAGTAAATTATTTAAAAGTAAAAAAAAACTTCAAAAAGTTTACATTCTTGCATATACATTAAACAGTTCAGTTGATAAGTAAAAGCTGAGTCAGTCCTGTGTTATCAGTTGTGTTTAAATCATTATGTGATCTGTTTCCCTGCCCTTAATTTTGTACAAATATGTCTCCCAAAAAAACAGTGTCCAAAAAGCAAAATAAGTTATGGTAATATTCCCAAGCAAAAAAAAGGGCACATAATGTGCTTAATTTAAGGGATAAAGTGAAATTTTTAGATTTGTTGAGAGGCAGCATGCCTTTAGTGGAAGTTATGGGGAAAATGAATCAAGCATCCTTAGTATGCAAAATAAACAGCGTGAAACAGGACCTAGTTTTTAGTGGCCAGTATTAAGGTGTACAATCGTAATTTTGTGGCAGTAGTGTAGCCTCCTTCATGCAGCATCAAGTTTTGAATGCTCAGACCTGGTGTACATGTGGTACAGGTAAATTAGAGTTCAGAGTACTGAACTCTATGTATCCTAAGTATTCAGTTTTGCCTCAACAGCAGTCTCCTTGGAAAACCATGTATCGGTGGATACCAACAGTCGACAATTTCTGAGGTGTGCTTTTTAAGGGCAGAACAAGTCGCTATTATGTTGAAGGCTTATAGGGAGGACAAAGTTAATAAGTTAAAATTAGTAGATTTAACACATTTGTTGAATAATTACACTCTGCCTTGCACTGTTGGTTGCTAGACATACAGTGGTAACAGAGCAAAAGACATGATTTTTGGCTCTCTTTGATCTTCCAATGATATACTCATGCTTATTAAAACTAGGTGCTGCAACAAGACACAGGGTGTTATTAGATAACAGCAGAAATTGATCTAATGGTGTCAGGAAGGGCTTACCTAAGGAAATGATGAGATCTGAAGGAAGAGTAAACAATGATGGGATAGCAGTAGTTTGTTGCAGATTATTCTGACTACAGCATGAACTTACAGGAGGAGGGCAAGATGTTATCATTCCTCTATAACAGGATGGTAGCAGCTAGGACAGAAGGAACTGAGAGATTTAAGGGGTAAAAAGCAGCAGGACACAGTAGCTTAATGCCTGAAATTCTAGGTACTTACAAGGTGGGGATCAGGAGGATTACAACCAAGCTGAGCAAAGATGCACCAGGTGGCACATACCTGTCATCCCAGCTACAGGGGAAGCATAAATGGAACTAAGGTTCAGGTCTGCTTGACCAAAGAAAGCAAAATGCTGTACAAAAAATAATGAAAGCAAAAAGGGCTGGGGATGTGGGTCAAGTGATACAGTGACGTCTGGCAAGCACAGGGCCCTAAGTTCACATCTCAGTACTGCCAAAGGTTTAAAAAAAAATTCAGAAGATCTGGTAATGACTTGGATCTCTACTGTCTAACCACATTAAGTGGCAGTAGCCACCAGCACACTTAATGTGGTTAAGTCTGAATTGAGATGTGCTGACTTACTGTAAGTAAAAAGTGTACCCTGGATTTTGAAGATTTAATGTTAAAAAAAATAAAGTATTTCATTATTTTTAAAATATTGACACGCTGAAATAAGATTCTAGAAATACTGACTTAAATTTTTAATGCAGCTACATTTAAAATTATGTGGTTCACATTTTTTTACTGACAGTGCTGGACTAGATAGGAGTGACACGTATAATGTCTGTGTTTCCAGTTTACATAAGAGATGGATGATGTCACTATCCAATGAAACATAAAATATAATCAGAGGGGCAGGTTGGGGAGGAACATTCATGAATTCTATAGTGGAAATGCTGAGTTTGAAACACCTTTTAAGGCAACTGGGATTACATAAACCACCACACCCAGCTGTTTCTTTCTTATCAATCTCTACTAAGGATCCAAAACCTCTCAATTTTACCACATAAACTTTTAAAATAGCCCTACTTTCGCTTTTTTTTTGTTTTCGCTTGTCAATTCCATGAGATTACAGTAATTTTGGCCTTTCTACTATAACTGAGTTGATGCTAAGAAACAAAGCTTGATTAATAGTAAGATAGCATCCAATAGGTTTAAATCAAGGGGTCAGTCACTTACATTGTCAGTTTGGCTCTGAACCACATTTTCAACTCACCAGGTAACTAGTTTCAGTTACTGTTGCTAAGATATCCTGAGAGCAGGATTTCTCAACCTTGGCACCACTGATACTCCTTTGTTAGAGGAGAATGGGACTGTGCTGTATACTGAAGGGTTTTAGAAGGGTTCCTGACCTTTACCCACTAGATGACAGTAGTACCCCTTTTCACACATCCCCAATTGTGACAACCAACAATATCTTCAGAAATAATAAGATGTCCCTTGGGGAGAAAAATTGTTTCCATTTGAAAACCACTGCCTTTGAGTATTTAAGAAATAGTATTTTGTAAAAATGCAATTCCTTGGAGGTTCAAATAAGCTTGGGAAAACATCCTTTTCTTAAGAGTGTTTCGATGCTTATGAATAAATTAGGGGATCTGAGAAGTTCTACAGTGAAGAAAAGATCTGAATACTGTTTCTCAAGCTTAACTGTTTGGAAAAGATGTCATCATAGTAGAGGAAGAAGGAGGAAATGTTTTCAAAAGAACTTATTGTTGCTATTTGCTAACTTGCTGTTTAGAAAACTTCTAGGGACATATGATTTAGTGGGAAGATTTCATTATAGGAAAAGGATTAAGCATTTTAACAAATATAAAAAAGTTTCTAAATGCTTAATAAACATAATTCATAAATTAGCTTACAACTTGAAACCTTATCGGAAATTACACATTTACACAGACATAATATTTAAAAATCAGTGATTTTAATTGTGATCAGTTCAAACACGAATATTGACGAATGACGATTTTTTATTTCTTTTGATTATGATTGCCTAGACCAAGAGTTTACAAACAGCTGCAGCCTATTCTTTAAGGAAAAAATTTTAGTAGAACACAGTATGGTCATTAATTTGTATTACAATGGCCACCTATTAAGAAGACTCTCAATGGTTTATCGAACATTTTAAACTCCTAATAGATATTATATTATACAATTTGTATTGACCATTCCTTGGCTTCTAGGAGCTTTTCAGAATTTCTCACCCACAAGATCAAGGCAATGAATGGAGAGTAATTAAAGAATGAAACAAATCTGAAAAATATGGATGTGAACCAATTAAATTAAAATTTTCCTTCTTTTCACTGGATCCTTTCATAGTGTATCTGAATCTAAAAAAGACTCCCGTCCTATTATAATGACAGGAATTAGAATATGGAATACATTTTTTAAAAGTTAGTTTATTATATGTTACTAAATACTAGGGTGTATGAGAAAAAGGTTAAAGATTCTTTACCAGTAATTTTTTACAAAACAGACACACTTAATAAATGAACAAATGTCCTAGGATCAGGAAGAGCTACATTTTGCCTCAATAATTTAAGCCTCACTAAGCAAATACATAAGCCTTAAGAGCACCAGACTACTGTGAAATATTTTTATTCAGTAACAACAAAATATATACTTTTGAAGTGAATGACTATATAGCCAGGGAGAAAAGAGCAGAGTTGCTGATGCAAGCTAAAAGAGACCATGATCTCTCCACCTTAAAAACTTTCTAGTTTGGATATGGCTCAGTAAATCTAAATATTAGCACTGGCTTCTTACACATAAATCAGAAATAGCGCATTAAATCTTGGCACATAAGAATCCAACCACAATGAAGACTTCTAAAAAAGACTAGTAGTCTAACTTTTAAAGTCTTTAATGCTACTCAGAAATGAGCCTGGAAATGCAGTATCTTTCTGACAGTTCTGGTTTCTGATGCTGTAGAAATCTAAGGGGGATGCCCACGTGAACTCTCTTTTTAACTATAGGTTGAATCACTGAGGCCAAAGATTAACCTGTACCTTGCTTAAAGTGGAATTTCCTGGTCCTTCTTTAGCACAAAGCTTTATCTGTTATGGCTTAAAACAAAAATCTTGTAGAGATGAATTTGTAAGTCCTAAATCAGTTACTGCTTCTGCCTCTTATTGTGCACAAAAGCCAAAAAAAGATGAAAAACGGAAAAACAAGAGTTTAAACAGAACTACGAACATTACCTGACCTAAGCCCGTATTTGTGCATATAAACATTCAAAAATCTAAAAAAAAAAAGAGGGGGTAATAAAACCTGTAATACATTTGGAAGACACTCAAAGCACAGACTGTATTCAAGTAAGGTGCTCTTCAACAAACCGCCCATAGAATGCTAGTGATGTGGGCATTTGGAGAGCAATGAGTTTGGTTAAGATCAGTTTTGATGTGGACCGTTCACAAAGGTCAGATTAAGTGCCTCTCCATCACACGGAGACGCTTGAACTGTAAATTCAGGCGAAGCGACGGGTCACCGCTCTGCGCACCGCAGCACCGTAGGCCGCGTCCTTGGCGCAGGGCAGCCTCTGTCCGCCCCGCCAGGCAGCACTGCACGGCGGGATCGAATCCACCTCTCAAATGAGCCAACTACCACCTCGCCCTCAAGGTCAAGACAAACGGCCTCCCGCGACGCGGTGTTGCGGGCCGAGCCGCCGCTCCTCCGCGCCCTTCGAGAGCTGTCATGGGGCGGGGGGGGGGGTTCCCGCTCCAGCTCGGGGCGGCACTTACGGGGTGCACCTGTCGCTGTACTCGTTGGCAATGGTCTCGATACCGCCACTCCTCGCCACGGCGATGTAGCAGTTTAGGAAGCCGAGATCGATGCCGACCACCGACATGCCGGCGCCGGGGCGTCGGGGCGCTGGCGCCGCCGCCCAAGCCTCCGCTGCGCGGACCGCGTCCTCTCCCGGGCCGCCGCTGACGGGATCGCGACTCCTAGGGAAGCAAAGGAGAGAAGACCCCACGTCGCCTCTCAGGAAACCTGGGGCCGGCAGGCGTCGCGAAACCGCGGAGGGAGGGGGACAGGCCGCCCGCACCGCCGCTCCGTCTCCCCACTGCGGTTCGCCGCCGCCAACCGGCAGTTACGGGGTCTGCGCCTGCGCGCTCGGCCGCCGGGGCGCGCGCGCCGATTCTCAGAGCCCGACCCTGCCCCCGGCCCGGCTTCGGCAGCTTCCGTCAGCACTCGGGCAACGGCTACCCGAGGAACTGCGGGTTCGAGAAAGATCTGGAAAGCGGAGACGGCTGAGCCCGCGGCGGGTCCAGGACAACCGGGAATGCGAGGAGCAGAGGCGGCGGGGCGGGCTGCACTGAGCTGGGTTGGGCGAACAGAGCGCGGACAGGCTTTTTGGTTGCCTGGCAACCCGAGGCGCGCCTGTTCCAGGGCGGGCGCGGCCCAGGCAAGCCCGAGTTGGCGCCCCGCTAGCCGGCGCCTTCGTCCCTCCCTCCTGTAGCCGGCGCACCCACCTCCCGCCTCGCTGCCCCGAGGGGCCCATGTGCGAGTTCCGGTGCTGTACGGGCCCCTTCGCAGCGCGCGCTCTGTGAGGTGGTATCCATTGTGCGGCGCCGGCCGGGGGCGGGGCTCGGCGGGCCCACGCAGGTCAGGGTTCCCACTCGCGTCCAAACGCCGACGGCTTCCGCTCGCGCCCGTGGAGGACGCGGGCTGCGGTCTGAAATGTGGTCCATGCTCACCAGGCCGCGCGCGCCGGCGCCTTCCGGTCTACCGGCCCTCCCTTCGCTGGCCGGGCCCCGTGGTGCGGGGCGTCCGGAGGCCCCCGGTCCGTCGACTCCAGTTCTTCGTGCATGCGCTGGTCCTCCACGTGCCATTCTTCGTGCGTTCCCTCGTCTTTGCGCACGTCGTGTGCTTTCCGTTCCCTATTGGTGGCCATCGTAAAAGCAGACATGGTTTTCTCACTGGAGTCTGTAGAGTTCTCCTCCTCGGCAGTAGCTTTCCTCTTCAAAGCACTCAGACGCCTTACTATTAACAGTGCTGCGACCGCGACGGCGGCAAGGGCGGCAGTGGCTCCTGCTGCCGTCGTGACGATGAATGGGAAATCCATGTTCAAGGGCGACGCCTAGGAAGCTGAAGTGCACAGCACGGCACCGACTCTGCTGTCTAGGTCCACCATGCCTCGTGTCAGGAGCCCGCATAAGGCGGCCGCGCCCGCGTGTGACCTCCCGGCAGGCAGCGCGCGGGCAGAGCCGGGATTGGACGCCGCCGTCCCCAAGAGAACCCTGGGCCCGGGCTTCGCTGCTTAGTGGCCCCGTCCAACCATCGTGCCCGCCGCCATCCAGACTTCGTGCCAGGGTGCGCCGAAAACACCCTATGCCCACTTACTTCTCTGACTGCATTTGTTTATCCACAACCCTCAGTGTAAGAATGGTTTCCTATTAAAAAAAAATCAAGGTGAAAAGGAACTTTTGATTCCAGGAGCAAGGGAGCAAGGAGTTACCACATTCCTTACAATCAATAGGAGGGCGTGTCAAAATCACGGCAGGCTTTGGGCTTACCCGGGCTCAGGCCAACCTAAATACCAAACGCCAGGTTCAAAGTTAAAATCGCGAGTGTACTCTCTGGGCCGTTTTCACGAGTAAGTAACACAAGCAAAGCATCAGAACCTGGCACCCAGGGTCACTAAGTGTAGCTATGCTTACCTGCTGTGGGAACAGAGGGGTGGTAATGATGTATATGTATTGATCGTGCATCTAGCAACCTTGTACTTTTAGTAATTTCAGTTTCTTGGGTTTTCTCAGTTTAAAATTATATGGTCTGGTAGTTTTTTCATTTTAATCCTTCTATTTTATCTTAATTTGCTGCTTAATCTCTCCAGTAGACTCTAGAACACAAGCAGTAGTCGTGAGCATTTTTGTCTCTGACATTGAATAATCTGCTTATAGTCAATCTCACAAGGTGTTTTTTTTTTTTTTTCTGTATCATTGCTGGATGGATGCCTCAGCCAGTCTATCTGGTAGGTTCCCACCAGGCAGGTTATGATCAGCTGTGTAGCACAAGGTTTGAACCTCTTCAGTCAGCTCTTCCAGACTGTCTTCATGCTTCCTGATGCTATACTGCACTTTGTTGATTACCTTTGTATACAATTTGCCATAATTGGGCAAGCAAACATCTTTAAGTATTACCTCCAAAGTTTAAGAAATTTCTCCTTTTTTGAATATGAGCATCAGCCTTACTCATAAAGCAGGAATCTCCCATTCAACTTTCAAATTTTCATTAAGAGACAAAGCTGGTAACATCTATTGTAGATAGCAAATAATCACAAACCTGCTTTACCTGGTCTATCTTCAGCTTTTTTGCTGGAAAATGAACATCTTTCACTAATTTCTTATCAACTTTCAACTGAACAGTGGAGGCATAATTCAAACAAGAGTTCAACAGTTTGTAGTCTGAGATAAAATTTATCATAAGAAAACCCATGAGGAATCACTATCACAACAGTTCAAACAAATAGGGACTGCAGCAAGCTAGTATTGCTGTGTTTAATCTCATGGCCACAGAGTAAAGTCAAACATCACAAAAATGACCACTTTTCCTCAGGTAATTTAATTTGGCAATAGAAGACTATAAAAATTTCATCTTCAAACATCAAATACCCATTGGGAATTTTTCTATATGAAATTGGCTACTATACTGGTGAGAAATGTATTATTGGGCACTCAGCTGAAAGAAAAAGGAGTGTTGAATCCAAAGCGCTTCGTTGAAGGTATATAGACAGGTAGTTGAAGTGAAGGTGCTCTAATTGTGATTTCAAAAGTATCAGGCTTGAATGTGATGTGATCAAGCTACTGGAAACTGCAGATGTGAATTTCTTTTTTCTTTATGAGACTGGGTCTCGCTCTGTAGCCCAGGCTTGCTTACAACTTTCCATTTTCCTTCACCCCCAGAAGTACTGGGATTACAGACATGCACCACCACGACTGGCTTAGACACAAATTTCTCCAGTAATGGTCATGCATTACTTGTTTCATCTCTGAAGGAATACTCATCTGCAGAGGTTCAGTAGGGTGTAGAAAGAAGCAGAAATTGGCCCTAAGAAAAGCTCCTGGAGATGGCTGAGAGGGACAGCAGTTGAAGAATGAATGGTCCCCAGAAACTGGAAAGGATGAAAGTAGACCATATAGTAAGCTGAACCTCTAATCCAATTGAAATAGGAATTATGATTGTGGTATTTATTGCAAGGGTAGGTGATAAATATCCAGCACTATGGCAAATTTTGCTGACACATATGCCCCTCCTCCCCACAAACGTGAGTATAAATTACATCCAAAAGGAATTGGGGTTTTCTTCTTAATAAAAGGGGAAATATTCTTGAAAAAAAAATGTGGCTCAAGTGGTAGAGTGCCTGCTTTGCAAGCGTGAAACCAAGTTCAAACCCCAGTCCCACTGAAACAACAACAAAAAAAACCCAACAAAAACAAAAAGTGTCAATTTGTTTAGCATGCTGGTTATACTCAGAATTTTCTGAAGGCCAGGTGTGTTGGCACATGCCTGTTATCTCAACTACATGGGAGGCAGATATTGGGAGGATCACAGTTCAAGGCCATTCCAGGCAAAAAATTAGCAAAACCCCCATCTCAATTAACAATTCAGGTACAGAGGCATGCACAGTTAAAGAGGAGACGTGAGTAGAACAGCAGTCCAGGCTGACCCAAGCAAAAATGTAAGACACTGCCCAAAAAGTAACTAAAGCAAAAAGGCCTGGAGGCTTGGGTTTTGGTAGAACATCTTCCCAGAAAACTTGAGGCCCTGACTTCAAACTCAGTACCACTAAAAATAAAAATACCACATGTCAGACACAAGACACTCAAGGCCAGGGAAGTTGCAGCCCACAGGTTTCAGAAACAGATGCTAAGGGTGACTGACACCATATGTAGATAGGAGTTAGGAACGTAAGCCCTGATTAAAGTAGGGGGTTGAAACTGAAGTACACTGTGCCTTCCAGCCACACAAATTGTCTAGTAAAGCTAAAAACTTGGGCATGTTTTATTTAGGAAGGTAGACTAGGAAAATAGCCACCAAATTATAGTAGACAAAGGACTGCCAACCACCTCAACAGTGAGTAGGAAAAAAAACCCTGGGAAATCAAAATGCCCAAGACTGGGCCACCACACAGTATAGAACACACATATGTCAGTATGTATGTATTCACACCGTACGGCACAGGAATTCTTAAACTAAAACCAGTGAAATTTTCAGGGATCTGGCAAAAATAAACCAGACTTCTCTGGGATACTTCTGTGACCCAGGGTAAAAAGCATCATGGAGGTGGGACGGCTGTGGGGTCTCACCATGCGGGGAGGTAAGGAGGTCAGTGGCCTGGAGCCACTGCTTCTGTCCTGTGCCATTCAGCAAGCAAACAAGTGAGCAAGTTCCTGCAAGGCCTAGGTGCTAATGTGTCTTCCTAAAGCATTGCTTTGTTATTGACTTATTTTTTTAAAAATGGCAATGGTTTTCCACTATTTGAACCTTTCACTCTTGGCATTCAGTTTGACCCCTGCTATGGTTTTGAATGTGTCTCCACTAAGGTGGCAGCATTAAGAGGTGGGGCCTTCCCACCACTGACGAATGGATTAAGAAAATGTGGTATCTATACACAATGGAATTTTATGCAGCCATGAAGAAGAACGAAATGTTATCATTCGCTGGTAAATGGATGGAATTGGAGAACATCATTCTGAGTGAGGTTAGCCTGGCCCAAAAGACCAAAAATCGTATGTTCTCCCTCATATGTGGACATTAGATCAAGGGCAAACACAACAAGGGGATTGGACTATGAGCACATGATAAAAGCGAGAGCACACAAGGGAGGGGTGAGGATAGGTAAGACACCTAAAAAATTACCTAGCATTTGTTGCCCTTAACGCAGAGAAACTAAAGCAGATACCTTAAAGCAACTGAGGCCAATAGGAAAAGGGGAACAGGTACTAGAGAAAAGGTTAGATCAAAAAGAATTAACCTAGAAGGTAACACCCACGCACAGGAAATCAATGTGAGTCAATGCCCTGTATAGCTATCCTTATCTCAACCAGCAAAAACCCTTGTCCCTTCCTGTTATTGCTTATACTCTCTCTACAACAAAATTAGAAATAAGGGCAAAATAGTTTCTGCTGGGTATTGAGGGGATGGGGGGGAGAGGGAGGGGGCGGAGTGGGTGGTAAGGGAGGGGGTGGGGGCAGGGGGGAGAAATGAACCAAGCCTTGTGTGCACACATGAATAATAAAAGAAAAATGAAAAAAAAAAAAAAAAGAGGTGGGGCCTTTAAGAGTTGAGTAATACACCATGAGGGTGGCTCCTCCTTCAATGGAATTAAGGGCCTTATAAAAGAAGCCTCACACAGCTTCAGCTAAGCTCACTCTTCAGCTATTCTGCCATGTGAGGACACAGCAAACAACAATCCACTCTGTAGGAGGATGCAGCTTCAACAGACAACAGATGCTAGAACCTCCATTTTGGACTTTAGGTCTCCAGAACTGAGAAATAAATCTGTTCTTTACAAATTACCTAGTCTCAAATATTTTGTTCTAATATACAAAACTAAAATAATCCTGGATCTACTTTCCAACCTCCTGTCGTGTCACTTTTTCTACATCTGTTTCAGTCTATCACTTGGTATTGTCCAAATATGAACTGACTTTTCCACCAAGTATTGGCCTAGTGCCACTCTTGGATATGGTTCCAACTTTGTTGAAAATCTTCAAGACTGTTTAAGACTCAGTTTAAGGTACCATGAAGCCTCTCATGACTGCCTCAAGTTAACTGTTTCCTTCCTTTCCTCCCACTACCTTTTTTGTTCTTTTCACATTCTACTAGTATGTTGTGCATTTACTAGATTATGAACTCTAGATTATGACTTTACTAGATTATGGAATGTATTTGTTTTTGTGTCCTTCACACTAAAGGCCTGTAGTCTGCATGATTAGTTGTTAAAACAAGTAGGAACTTTGCCCTATAATAAATTCTGTAACAGAGATTTGCATAAAAGACTAGAAACATCTATGGTCTGTGGAGTGAAATCCTTTTGAGAGAAGAATGGCTTCTCCAGAGAAGGGAAAGAGGTTGCAAAGAAAATATATTAATATTCAGAAAATAAGGTGAACTGGCACAGAGACATTTAACAACATAGTGTATTTGGGGAAATTGGAAGTTACTGGGATGCCTGAAATTCCTTAGGATAAGGAGAATATATACAGCTAGGTCATCAAGAGCACTGTATGCCATGCTAAAGCCTTTTTATCCAGTAGGCCAGCAATTTACCTTTTCAAGAATGGGGACTCCTTTTTAATGTCAAAAAATTTTGACTCCCAAAGTAACTTTTTGTAATTGAATGAAATGTAATTAAAGCAGTGGTATCAAAGTGGGAAGAAAAAAATGAGAATATTTAAGAGAGAATTTACAATTGTTGATTTACTTGCTAATATGAACTGAGGTAGAAGAAAGACTCCTAGGTTTCTAGTGTTGGGTGACCAGATAGAAGGGGTATGTACTGTTAAACAAAATAAGGGAAATATGAGCAAGTCTGTGAATTAAGATAAGTCAGATTTTAGAAATACTAGGTTAGAGAAGCCTCTGATATACCCAGAGAAAAGGGTACCAAAGAGGCAGAAATATACACGTGGAAACCCAGAGAATGTGGGCTAGACTAGATAGAAATCTTAGTATCACTGGCAAATAAATGGTGCCTTACAGCTCAAGGTACAGAAATAGTGTACTGGGAGCACAGAGTTAGAAAAGAGCACAGGTCTGGCTTAGAGGACAGTGATACTTAAAAAGGCAGTGGGATGGATTTAGAAAGCTCAGTGAGGCTGCAGAAGGAAGTGCTCACTGGTGTGAACTGAAGCTTAACATACCCTGTGGAAGAGCCCTGAGGAATACCCATGTAACTGTCCATCCAGACATGGTAATTTCCCTAGAACCACAGAAATGTGTGGACAAATGCTGGTGGTTAAACTAATTGTTACATGTCATTTACACATATGACATGAAAGCCAGGCATTCTTGACTTGGGGTTCAGAGTTGGCCTTCAGGGTGTTGGTAAGACCAGGAATCACTTTTTCTTATTTCCCAAGGTTTCAAAATTGGTTTCGTGCATAATATATTTTGATGTAGTTCAAATTTTCATAAAAATTGTAATAATAAAAGAGCTTTTATTATAAAACGGCAGTGGAAGAAAGGAGTCCTCTATTAATTTATATTTAGATCAGTCAGCTACAAAGAATAAAGATATTGATTTCTTATTTGTGTAGCATCTCTAAATATGAGCAAAGCAAATACTTCAGAAATTTTAGTTGGAGGATACTAAAGTCCTCTTACTATAAAGCATCAATCCAGAGTAGGAATTTTTAAAAAAGTTCTTCAGACACTTGTGGCATCTATCCAGACAGTGTGTTTGGTATTCCATTCCCCCTTCCCTCAGCAAAACCTACTGTGAGACAACTTTAAAATTCATGCAAATAAAAATAAATGTAGTTTCAATAATTATAAGTGACTGCCAACTTAAAAAGTTATCTTGTTTTATGGAGGATCTATCTTACTGAATTAAAGATAAGCAAAGAATAAAGCTCTGAGAATAAAATTTTAAGTATAATTTGGGAGAAGTTTTAGAATAGGAAATTAATTAAAAATCCTAACCCAACAAGGCTCTCTGTATAAGAAGGAGCACTAGCAATTTAAGATGAGACATTGGCACATTTTAAGGATACTTTAGCTATGCATCTTCCAATATTAATTTTAATATTTAGCAAAATTATCTCCTTATGAAATCTCCATTGCGATTTTGCTCATTATACATCATCTGTCATTAACAATAGTTTAGCCAGGCATAGGGTGGCTCATGCCTGTAGTACTAGCTACATGAGGTGGCTGAGATAGGGAAGATCATAGTTCCAGTCAGCCTGGGCAAAAATTTCTTGAGACCACATCTCAACCAACAGCTGGGCGTGGTGCAGTGTGCCTGTCATCCCAATGATGGCAGGAAGTGTAAGTAGGAGGATTGGGGTCCAGGCTGGCCTAGGGAAACTTTCTCCAGAATAACTAGAGCAAAATAGCCAGAGGTGAGACTTAAGATGTAGAGTGCATGTCTAGCAAGGAGGAAGCCTTGAGTTCAAACTCCAGTATGGCCAAAACAAACAAACAAACAAACAAACCCAAATAGTTTAATGCAACAGAGTTTTAGCTTAGTCCAGGATACTAAGTAACATCTTTTTTTTTGTTCTAGCTATATATCTCCTAAGCTTTAATAGAATAGGATTTTGGTCTAGCAACTTAATGATTAAGTTCCTATTTGTCTTCCCCTTGAAGATTTCTTTCCTCTAAGCATGGCTCCTAACAAATTAATTTTTATAATATTTTCTTTGTTGATCTTTATATGGAAAACTATTCCTAATATATTTGATTACTGTAACTCTTTGATCTGACAGTTTAGATGAAAAATATTTTAAATTTTGTCTACAACTTGTGTTGACCACTACAAGAACTCATGTTTTCAGAAAATTTTTTTAGCCTCAAGTGGTACTACCAATGTATTAAGTAAAAACTATATTTTAATTTAGTTTCCTTAAAATTTCGCCCCCCTCCCCACCATGTACCAGGAAAATTACTTACTCCATTCTGCCAGTTCATGGCCTCACAAAACAGCACTATAATTTATCCTCACTAGCTTAACATTCTTTTACCCACTAAAACTTTCAAGTCTTGGGGATTTCAAATGTACTATCTTCTACACCATCTCTGAAAACACAAGACAAAATCTTTTACAAACACCTTGAAAATGCTTATATTTCTCCATAGAGAAACATTTTTTGTTTGTTTTGAGACAGGTTCTTTCTTTATAGCCCAGGCTGGCCTGGAATGTTTGATCCTCCTGCCTCAGCTTCACAAGTGCTAGGATTACAGACAGAAGCCACCCACGTCCAGCTTGAGAAACATCTTTTGCTCTGTCTTTAAGTAAAAGTCTGACAAGCTGGGTGTGGTAGTCCATAGCCTGCTGGAGGCTGAGGCAGGAGAGGATTGCGTGAGGCCCTATCTCAAAACAAACAAAACAATATGCTGACAGAGTTTTTGCTATTCTCTGTTTGGTAGGTAGTTAGATTAAGAGGGGGAAAAAAGGGGCTCACTTGATGGTTTTAAGCTTCCTTTATTATCAATACAGAATACAAAACTAATTTTCAAGGGATATTTTTTGTTCCAAAATATATTTGCACTAGCAAGACTTTATTTACTTTAAAGATTAGCAGCTAAGCCATTTTGTATCTTTTATTTTTCAACTTCAGTTTTACAATGTCATTTAAGTCATTATCAAAGTTTTTAATGATCAGATCTATAATCTGCACTTATCAAAATCTTTATGATACTGCAAGTACTACTCAAGGAAATGCCTGACCAGCACAAGTAGAGATGTAAAAACTTATGTTTGTCTAAAGACATCATGACAACTCTTGATAAACTTGTAAGAAATATTTGTTATACCATACGATTTTTAAAAGATGGGAAGACAGATATATTAAATGAATAGCAATTTAAGAGAACTTTTCTTTATTACATTTCAGCATTATATAATTTTCATTACAAATGTAAGAAAAGAATTTTAAACTAACAGAAACACATTGTACTTGTAATAAGTAACATGTCTCATTAAAATGAATTTAAGTGTGAAATCCATGCATTTCTCATTTTAATCTCCTGATGAGCCACCTCCAATATCAATATTAAGAAATTCTTTAATTTTATCATACAGCACCAACACCAAAGCACCCCCTGTACCACGAAGGATGTTAGAGAAGGCACCACGAAAAAATGCAGCGATTCCTTCGTATTGGTATATTTTCATAAAGCAGTCTATGGTTCCTTTGTATTGCCGTTCACTCTCACCACTCTATATAATGAAAGGCAAATAGTTTTCTATTACCATGATATCTTCTAAGATAGTTTTTTATCAGCACTAAAGACAGATAAATTTAACAATGTGTTGAATTAATGGACATATATTCCATATTGTATCTAGTGGCTGAAGAATGTTCATACTTTTCAGACACATTTGTTTTGAGAATTTAATGCATTAAAGTAAAAAATGCTTAAAAAACAGTAAATGGCATTTATTAAACACTATATGCCTATTTCTGACTTTCTGGTCTCATTCTTTTCACTTGTCCTCACAAAACCTATGGTCTGGCTACAGTGATCTTCTCAAGCTGTATGCTTCACCTTTATGCTTATAATGTTCTCTCACTATTCACTGAGATTTTTCTATCCAAAAGACCACATCTAATCACCTTAAGCATGTGGGCACTATTCCTCTATGCATTCCTGGAACCTGCACACATTTTTATTAAGCCATGAATTGTGTGTCTTCAATACTAGACTATGAGTTTGGGTGCAGATTTTATCTTGTTCTGCTTGTGTTACTAGAACTTTGCATAGATTAAGCACTCAAGTATTTTCCAATTCTGAAGGAATTAATGTAACAAGTAATAGTAATGGAGATGGAATATATAAAAAATTTGATTTAGGGATTTATATTTAGAATGCAGGTCATTACAAAAAAACTTCTCATCCTTAGAACTCAAAATTTTCTTTTATCAAAATACATTATAACAAATGATCATTATACCAATGGCTTGTAGCTGGGCTTATTCTACTTACTCTATTATTTCTGCTAACATAGATAGACTCATGCAATCTCTGCCATCCGCCTCCACACTCCAAGCAACATGTGCTTCAGGAGTAGAAGGTATTTCTCTTGCTGATGGCAGATGACTAAGTTCTACTGGTTGATGGCTATTTTAGGATGGGAAAGAATGTAAGACAATACATCATGCGTTTATTTCAGCTAAGTAAAAACAAATGACCTATGCCTTTCAGCTAAGGTGTGTCTGAAATCTGAATGAATTATACTTGCTATCAGACACAGTGAAAAAATAAATTAAGATTACAGACTGAATGTAAAATACCTGCATCATCATACGCCTCCGAACCGTGTCAAAGGGATAAGAGAGTATCCCAGAACATGTAGTCACAACTTGGGCAATGATAAAGGACACAATAAATGGGGTTTCCTTTGGTTTTGGTAATAAGCCCTAGGAAAGAAGAATGTTATTGAGTAACTAAGTTTCCAAAATATCTTAAATTCATAAATCAAAGGATAATTTTTACAAATATATCAAAGAAGATATAGTCTATTTAAAATGCAATAAAATAAGCTGGATTTATTTAACTGTAGCAAATCAATAATAAAGGAGAATGATGCAGCTGACTACACATCAAAGGTATATTTGGAAAAAAACAATGTATTTGCCCTTAAAAGGGATTTGTTATTAATGGCACCTAAAACTGGGAGCGATAGCAGCCAGTAACCAAAGCAGTTCTAGCACGGCTTTTCCTTATGGAATTGAAAAAAAAAAGATAAAAGAATGCTTGTTATTATCAACAACAGGTGATATTTGCAGAGTAGTTTCAAAGTTCTGAGTTAGTGAAGAAATATTCCCAAATTTCACAACTACTGTAGGAGATTACAGAGAAGAGCAGAGGGAGAGTACACAAAATTTTCTGTGATTCAATTAAATATACTTGAGAGCTTTCTGGAGGTTCTAGCAGGGGAATGCAGCTACTCATATACCCTTGACCAAAAAATGGTCCTCCTCTATCAGGGATGGTCATACTCTTTGACTGAGTGCGCAGCTTCAGGAGGGTACACATGGAGCAGTGAGGGAGGAAGGGGACACCCACCTAGCCAGCCATATCAGCAGAATCTGCAACCCTGGTGATCAATGGGGTGACATGTTGCAGACAGATTGCCCTCACATCCAAATAAATATTGAGATGCTGTAATTTTCATTAATTTATCAGTCTAAAAACAAAAATAATCTGTCCAGACCACAACAAAAATGGCATTCAATTACATATAATAAATGCAAAATGGATATTATAAAATGTCCATCAAATTTTAATCTTATTTTAATATATAATGCTGTTATTAATTTCATTGCTTCTTTTGGAAGCATTTTGCTATGGTGAGTAATAGCAAAGAGTTTTTGCCTGCCACTTAATAAGTAAATTACTTACCATTTCTAGGCTATTTATCTTCAAAACAGGGATTTTAAAGAACATAGTGAGGATGTAAGGTTTCTAGAACTAAGTAAAAGCTCAAAAATGGTAACCATTGTAATCTTTCTTTTTCTTACAATATAGAAATGCTACCAAATTCTGAAATGAAAAGGTAAATTGCAAAGCAACATAGAGAATACAACATCTAATCTAACAGTATGCAGTAGATAATGAAGCTATTGCAGAATGTAATTACTAAGCTTTCCTTATTTCCCATAATATTAAATTGATTGCTTCTATGTAAAAGGTGATAATAAAGTAAATGTAAAAAGAACTGTTAGAAGATGTCTTTCTACATACACTGAAGGCTTCTTGATTAGGAATGTAAGCCTCATTAGTACACTTTCCATTTGCAAAATGATGTACATATAGAGCAAACACTACAAAAACTAATGCTATTTTTCTTTTTATATAAAGCATATATACAGAAAGATTCATAATTTGACTATAATCTATCTAGGTTATGGCAGTCATGGTTAAATAGAATTTATCACCCTTGTTAAAATCTGTATAATTAAAGGTAACATAAATGCCAAATATATTACTAATTAGTACAGCAAAAAGAAACGAACCATTCATTTAATATATCCAAGTAAAAGCCCCAAATTACCTTAACAGTGTCATAAGCTCCAAAATAAGAGGCTCGGTATACAATGATGCCCTGAACGGAAACACCAAACCCTTGGTATAAACCAATAATTCCATCTGATTTTGCTATTTTCATAATACAGTCACCTAAACCCTTGAATTGTCTCTCTTCAGGACCTAAAATAAAGCCATTTAATATATTAGTAACATTATATATCAAATAAACATCTTAATCAAAGTAAACACTTTAAAGATTTAAATGTTCTGAAACTGCTACTTAGATTTCTAACAAGGCACAGGTCAAAAAGATTCTCTGTTCATTAAGTATATTCAAGATTTCAAGTAGTATTTCACAATAAGTTAACTGAAAATATTGACCTCTTTTTAAAAGCAATCTAATTAAAGTAATCTGACTTTAAATATTTCATTAAAATTACTAGAAGTACTCGAAAATACTTGGGAAGAGGCAAAGGAGGAATCTTCAGGATGAGTTGTACATTTCACTTAAGAGGAACCACAGTCTACCAAGAATAAGATATACAGAGGGATTTGAGGAAAAAAATGAAACTAAGCTATATGCGATCTCTTTGTCTACTCTTTTGTTATGATAGTTTTGCCCTTTTCTTTTTTAAGATGAAAGAAAAAAGCAGCATACCTTAGGCCTTATAACTCTACCAACTGTTTATAAGAAACAACGAACAGTTGTTACAAGAAAACTTATGAACCATAGCTAGTAACAATGTTGATACAGCACAGCTCCACAATAAACACATGCTCAAAACAGAAAGAAGAGTTAACGATGATGACCTCTCATACCTTTTCCAACATCAACACCTAATCGGGTTCGGGCAAAATCTAGTGGATACACAACACATAAGGATGTTGCCCCAGCAGCTCCACCAGAAGCCAGGTTTGCCAAAAACCACCTCCAGAACTGAAATACACCAATTAAAAATGTTTTTGCCAAACTCTGCAATCCATTTGAAATAGCTATAAACCCTTTTTATAAATGTAAAAAACCTAAATTTTTAAGACGCTTTTTATAAAATAACATCTATAATAATTCATACCACATAAAGCCAAAACATTTCTCTGCTAGTCCACATATCCAGGTAGCCTTCGTGTGTGTGTGTGGTGCTGGGGATGGAACCCAGGGCCTCACACATGCTAGGTAATCCCCTAACCCTCAGATTTCTTCTTTCCTTGCTAGGTAGTCTGAGAGATACAGTTTAGATGCTGACATACTAGAACTGAAAGTGATACACAAGCACAGCCTGTAATCCCAGCTATTTGGAAGGCAAGGTAGGATGATACTAGTCTGAGGCCATCAGGGAAAAAGCGTGAGCCTGCATCTAAAAAACAAACTTCAGCAAAACGAGACATGGCTTTAAGTGGTAGAGCACCTGCCCAGCAAGCACAAGGCCCTGAGTTCAAAACTCTAGTCCACTTACTTGGTTTTGGTGTACTGGGGTTTGAACTCAGGGTCTTATGCTTGCTAGGCAGGCATCCTATTGCTTGAGCCTCAGCCCCAATCCCACTTACAGGCTTTTAAGGGCTCTCTTACAGTGATTTTCTTCTCTCTTGCTACTTTCAAGATTCTTTGCTTTTGACTTCTGTCAATTTGATTATGATGTGTCTCCAAGTATATTTTTTGAATTGAACTTGGGAGTCCTGAGTTTCCTAAATCTGGATGTTCATCTCACTCCCAAGATTCAGGAAGTTTTAAGACAGTTTCCTTTAAATAAGTTCTCCTTTTTCTTTTCTCCTTTTACTCCCACAATTCATACATGTCTGATGGTGTCTCCTAAGAGCTCCTGCTTTCTTCACTATTTTTCATTTAAAAAAATTTTTTTTCTAATTGACTAATCTCAAATAACCTGTCTCTAATGATCAAGTCAGCTGTTAAAGCTCTCTAGTGAGTTTTTAATTTCTGTCACTGTACTCTTCAGCTCCAAAATTTCTGTGTCAGTTTTCTTTTTGCTTTCTATTTCAATAAACTGCCCATTTTGTTCGTTCATTATTTTCCTACTTTCACTTAGTTGTCTGTGTTTTCTTGACTCTCATTGAGATTTTTTTCTGGCAGAACCGGGGTTTGAACTCAGGGCCTCAAACCTGCTAGGAAGGCACTCTACCAATTGAGCCACTCTGCAAGCCCTTGTTTGGCTGAGTATTTTCTGAGATAGGATCTTGTGAACTACTTACCAGTATCCTCCCCTGAGTGGCTTATAGGTGTGAGCCACCGGTGGCTGGCTCAGTAAGCATCTTTAAAATAGTTATTCTTAATTCTTTTAGAGACAATTTTTATATCTCTAGTCTTTGGGGTCAGTTATTGGATATTTATTCATTTCTTTTGGAGATGTCACATTTGCCTAATTTTTGTTTTCCACATAGCCTTTCATTATTCTATGTGTTTGAAGAACCAAACCCTTTTTAAAGCTTACAGACTAGTTTCAGCAAGTTTGAAGTCTTCTCCTATTAGGTCTCTGGATGATATACTGTATCCAGCCTGGTAGGCTTGGATCCAAGTCATGTGGTTGCTGCTGGGTCCAAAATGGAGACTGAAGTTGGCAGGCTTCTTAACAGGAGCTCTAGCAGGTATGGATCCTATTCAGGATGTGTGGAATGGACTGTCTCTAAGACCTTAGTCTATGGAGCTGTTGTTATAATGAGGGTTTGCTTTGTGGTTTACAGATGGTGGTACTTCTACTAGGTGTGCTGACAGGTCTGGCTTCTTCCACTAGCTCCTGCTGTATTACTAGATGGGTCCTTAGGCAAGCTGTCAAAGTCGACAGCTGAGGGTGGCTAGAATCAAATAATAGGGATGTTTCAGGGTCTAGAGCAGAGACCAAGATCTTTAGGTCTCTCTCAGGTCATATGAAGACCTTCTGGAAGGCTCCTGGACAGAAAGGCTTAGTCTCAGGAAGGGATGTGAAACCAATTTATAGAGCCATTTTGAGATCTACAATGGGACTAGGTTTAGTGAATCACTGGAGTAGTTTGTGTTAATATTGTGATTTATGGTAAACATACCTGGGCATTGGGCTAAGCTATAAAGTCTGACCTCTGGAGACTGAAAAGATAAGTTCAGTTATATTCCACATTTATGTGGCTGACTGTGAATAAAACCCCTTGACACGAAGGCTTGGGAAGAACATCCTTGGTTGGGAATGTATCATGTATGTTGTCCCTTGTTTGGAGAAGTGAGTACTGTCTGTGTGACTCTGCTAGGACAGGACAACTGGAAGTTTGAACTTAGATTCTCTGAGCTCGTCCCTATGTGCTATTTCCTTTTGCTGATTTTAGTTTGAATTCTTTTGTTGTAATAAACCACGAGTATTGGCTGAAGATGTAGCTCAGTGGTATAGCACTTGCCAAGCATGCCTAAGACCCTGGATTCAGTCCCTAGCACTGCAAAACAAAAGAAAAACTCCCAAACCAACCAACCAAAAGCCTGTAACAGCTTGTGTAGTCACTTTTCATTGCTGTGACAAAATACCTGACATAAACAAAAGGACAACAGAGTTACTTTGGCTCACAACGCCAGAGGTTTCAGCCTATAGTCACTTGGCTGTATTTAACTGTGCCATGGTGAGGCAGAGCACCAAGGCAGAAAGCATACAGTGGTGCTGCTCACTACAAGGTGGCCAGGACAGAAAGAGTAACAGGAAGGAGCCAGGGAGAAGATACACCCTTCAGAGATACATCTTTAGTGAATTACTTCCTCCAACCAGGTCCCAGTTCCTAACAGCCCATTCACTAACTTCATCCACTGATGCTGTTAGCTCCATCATGATTTAACCTCTCAACAGCACCAGCAGTTGGAGACTGATCCTTCAGCGCTTGAACCTTTTTTGGGGGGGTGGAGCGAAACCCTCATATTCAAACAATAACAGCTTTTCTGAGGTCTGCATATACTTCTAGTGAATCAGTAAACCTGAGGCAACTTTGGGGACACTTGACAAGAGACAAGAAGGAAGATTCTGCTATAAAAAAAGGAAACCTTTTACTGAAGGCCTATCATAAAGGAAAGCACTATGCTAAGTACTTCAAATGAAATCTCATCTGAACCTCCCAATAAAACTATGAGGTGGGTATTGGTATGTCTAATTTTCAGATGAGGATAACTAAGGATTAGAGAAATGAAAGTGACTTTCAAATCCAACCTGCTAAATGAAGAGTGCCAGCATCCAAATCCCAATCTTGAGTCTAAAGAATTTTCTTACTTTTGTACCGTCCAGAACATGAAGGGCAATGCAAATCATTCAAAAACACTTTTAATGAAATAAAATTGTGAAAAAAGTAAACAAGGACCAGAGGAAACTAAAGGAGATAGCAACAAAGAAATGTTCACAATCAGTTGCTTTTTAAATCAAAGCAGCAACCAGGGTGAAAGATGAAGTGTGAGATGAAAGATTACTTTGTAAGGGTCTGGGGAAGACCTTGGGAATAATGTAGGAATAATGTATTGACCACATTGAAACAAACAGAAATCTGGACAATGAAGGAATTCATATGAGTAAGCAATTTTGAAATTGAGATTTTGTAGCCAAGGGAGTAATAATCTTTTTTCTTATTCTTCTATTTTCATATATGGATACAAAAGTCATCCACCATATTCACCCTTATTCCCCTTTTCCTTGTGCTCACCCACCTCCGTACCCAGCCCTGGAAAGACATATGTTTCAAGGGAGTAATTATCTTGAAAAACAAAAAGGACCTTTGCAAGAAAAAAAAAGAACAGAACTTAAATTTATCATTTTCCTGTTGCTGATTTGGTTTTCCCACTTTAATCACAGCTAAATAGATATTTAGTTATAAAGAAGAAACAACCTCAGAGATACAAAATGCAATTTCTTGACTGCTTTTTGCGCTTAAGTAATTATAAAATGCAAATTGTATTTAATATCTCGAGAAATATTGCCTTGAGACAAAAGATCCCTTAGTTATTAAAGTTGTGGTAAGAGATTTAGTGAAACTTAGAAGTTAATGTCATGTTTTTATATGTTAATGTAACAATACGTACTGAACTTTGCCAACAGTTAATATGTTCTGTTTTTACCACCACTAGAACACCTTCTCTCCAAATCAAATATCATAGGTAAGACAAATCTAACATTTCTTACAAAATTTTAGAGGAACTGGGCTGGCAGAGTGGCTCAAGTGGCACAGCACCTGCCTAGCAAGTGTGAAGTCCTGAGTTCAAACCCCAGTACCACCAAAAGAAATTTAGAAATTGAAATACAGTTACCTGTTTTTCTTTATTAACTCCAGACATGAAGAGTTGTTTGTATTTATCCTTAAAAGCAAAGTTTAGAGCTTGTGTTGGAAAATACCTGATAACATTTGCCAAATTGCCACGCCAATAGCTGAAGAAACCTGAAAAAGGAAATATACAAATATATAAACCTATCACGTATTATGAATTTCCAGTGTTTTAACAAATTTAACTATTTGAACCATGTAAAGCATACTCTTTTCTCATGAACTAAACTACATGTATCTTCACTGAAAGAAAAAACAAAAAGCAGTGTTAACTATGCAGCTTGTTCCACTATTGCTAATTTCAAATAAAAAGTTCTGAATAGCTAAAAACCTATGGAAAGCATTATCAGTTGAATATTGGCATCTTTAATAGAAAAATTGCTCACTAGTATTTCTCAGAGGCTAGCAATCTTTTTTTGTGTATGTGCAGTACTGGGATTTGCACTTGCTAGACTCCAGAATACCTTGGGCCACAGGTGTGCACCACCATACCTGGTTTATTGATTGAGATGGGGTCTTGCTAACTTTCTTCCTCAATTGGCCTTGAACCTTGATCCTCCCAATCTCTACCTCCTGAATAGCTGGGATTACAGGCATGAGTCACTGCACCCACCATGAAAGAAATCTATGATATATCAATAATCTTCTTGCCTCAATTCTCTATGGGTTGATTAAACCTCAAAATTCAGTCATTATGTAACTCTTGAAATTTAGAGCTAGCCTGATCATCCAGAGCTGCCCCAGAACATGGTAGGTTAGCGCTTCGGTAGTCTTGGTTATTTTTATTACATTTTCAAATAGTCTGTGCTACTCTAAATGGGATACCTTCAGTCTCAGATTAGAGAATACCCCAAGTCAGTTCTTTAAAAATAAAGATTCAAAAGAAACTAATCTCTTATTCCATTTTATAAAATGAAGTGTTACCCAATCCTAGATTCAAAAAACTAGGGAAAGGAAAAATTAAAGCCACAGTTAAATATCATTTTATACATGTAAGATGGATACTATCAAAAAGACAGAAGAAACAAGTGTTGGTGTGGAGAAAAGGTGGCATAAAGAAAAGGAACCACTGTATAATGTACAATTCCTCACAAAACTAAAAATAGAACTACCACATGACCCACTACTGGGTATATATACAAAAGAAATCAGTATATCGAAGATATGTTTGCATCCCTATGTTCACTGCAGCATTATTCACAATAGCCAAGAAAGAGTCAACATAAGTGTTCATCAATGGGTGAATAGATAGAGATACATGATAGAACACTGTTCAGTCTTAAAAGGAAGTCCCATCATTTACAATAACATGTATGAACCTTCAGGACATTATGTTAAGTGATACAGCCAGGCACAGAATGGCAAATACCATATGATCTTATTGACCTTAAAAAGTTGCTTTTTTATTTTTGTTAATATTGCCTCAAAAATAACTTCTCCAGCTATATTGGGAGAAAACTGACAAAGCACTATATATTTACTATGTAAAGGGGTATGTTTTGATGTATGTATACATCATGAATTGATTTTTTGGGGGACATTATTTTTGAGGCAATATTAACAAGAACAAAAACAGTAATAATTTGCTAGAAACCTCTTTTAATTTGTTTAATCCTCATAACTGCCCACAGAATAGGTACTAGTAGTCTCCCCATTTTCCCAGTGAAGTAGTAAGTTTAAAACAACTCATTACAGAGTAACTGAAGTCATAAAGCTGATGAACTGGAATCCAAACTCAAGCAGTATGGCAAAACAATTCACTTCCTTAACTACTTCTCCACAGATATGTTAACCATGTGGATTATTTTCTGTACTATGGAAGGTCAACTGTTTAATGGAAGCAAGATAAAAATTTTAAGCATAACAAATATAAGCAAATTAAAAAAGGATATTTCTTGATTACTGAATTACTGAGAGTGATGGTGGACCTAATTTTTTGAGGTCATTTAAAGAAATTTTTTGTACTTAATAAAAACTTTAAGAACATATTTCAAGTGTTTTCTCAAGGGTCAGACCTCTGGAAGAGAAAGAATTTCAAAAGTGAACCATGACTAAAAATGATGTTGAAGAATAAGATTTCCTGTGCTGGTCCATGGACTACAGTATCACAATGACAAATTACTGGTAGAGGATAAAGTCAGTTTTAAAAGGATCAGAAAGCAGATCAGCATATTTTGGCTGAACAAGAGGGATTACTATCTTTTTTTTTTTTTTTTGGCAGTACTGGGCTTGAACTCAGGGCCTCATGCTTGCTAGGCAGGTGCTCTACCACTTTAGTCACTCCACCAGCTGAACAACAGGGATTTAAACTTAAATCTGATTTTTAAAAAAACCTGTAAACTTGTATTTGGAAAGAGTCATATATGAGAAAGGTACTGGCATTCCCATTTTACACATGGGTCATATATTAATGGTCACTTTGGAAATGGCTAATTCAGCAGCTGGCATTATATGTTATAGGTTTCAGATTATGAGTTTTTACTTTCAATTCTGTAATTATGATGATAGCATTGAATATTTTATTTCACAAAAGGAGCATTATATATAAGAGCAGTACAGAGGTTTGGAACTTTGGTTAATGTACTGACTATAAATGGAAGGTTTTAATGATGATGACATCTTTGTCCATCCATGATGGAGTACTGCTGTAACTAAAGGGTTTGTTAGAGTTGTCTGAAGAATGTTTCCTTTAGGAAAAAAAAACACTTGTGTAAAAAAAAAATCCATTTGCATTAAAGCAAATATTGTTTCAATAAAAATCTAGAAACAAATCTCTAAAATTCTACAAACTGGTAAGTAAATTATAATTAAGGAAATTCTTCATATATATGGAAAAATACAATCTCACAACATGAAATATTTTTACATATATTTCATAGAATTCATGATTCCCTAAAGCTACAGGAGCCAAGTTAAACTCATGTTTTAAGTTTTTCCACAGACCATCTTAAAACATTCTATTCATATTCTCTTTGCTTCTCTCTGGTATATGCTGCCAGAAACTCCAATGTCCCAGCTAAGAGCACAAACGACCAAGGAGTCCCAATGTGGGTTTCTGGACACATTGTGTTTTTGCTGGTACTGGGTTTAAATTCAGGGCCTTGTGCTTTGTAGGCAAGTGCTTTACCACTTGAACCATACTTCCAGCCATTTTTGTTTTAGTTTTTCAAACAGAGTCTCATGGTTTTTCCCTGGCAGGCCTCAGACTGCCACCACACTTGCTGAACAAATTTTCTTTATGAGTACTTCTGGGGATTAGGCCACAGGGTTTTAATTCAGGCATATTCTATGCACAAAGGTTCCCTCAGACAGATTAGGAAAATCTAACGTAAGCTAAGCATGGTGGCTCACACCTATAATCCTAGCTACTCAGGACGTCTCCAGTTCCAGAGGATCACAGTTCAAGGCCAGCCCAGGCAAAAAAGTTTGTGAGATCCCATCGCAACCAATAAAACACTGGGCATGGAGGCATACGCCTGTTATCACAGCTATGTGAGAAGCATAAATAGGAGAATCTTGGTCCAGGTGGGCCAGATTGTAAATGTGACATCCTACTGGAAGACAACTACAGCAAAAAGGGCTACGGGTACAGCTCAAGTGGTAGGGCATCTGCCTAGCAAGTTCAAGGTCATGAGTTCAAAATCTGGCACCACCCCTCAAAAAACTTCTCTGTGTAATACAAGGTTATCCCAAATAAACTTACTTATAAGTTAATATCTGGAATACATGTTTGTAAATTTAGGAACACATACATTCTGGTTAAACAGTTACAATTTATTAAGCAACAGTTATTCTACAGGCACATGGTTGATTATTTTACATGCATTATCTTCTTTAATCCTCACAACTACCATATCAGGTAAAGACCATTATTATGCCCAGTATACAGCTAAGGAAAACGATTAAAAGAGGTTAAGCAAAAAATTGTTCAAGGTTATAAGGTAAAGAATAAAATGAGGAAAATAAAAGCCAAACAACTGTAGGAGTGTTTTGACAATAGTCATAAAGAATGGAAAGCTTCCTAATATACAAAAAAATGACAGAATGCCATGCATGGTGGTACATGTCTATAATCCCAGCACTCAGGAGGAAAAGGCGTACGCAGGAAGATCACAAGTTTGAGGCTAGCCTGGTCTTCAGTGGGATACTGTCTCAAAAAAAAAAAAAAAGTAGAGAAAAATACCAATGGAAATATCTTTCTCTACTAAAATCAGAATATCTGTTCAGTGTCTGACCTAATTTCTAAGGTCAGAAATTAGAAGGATGAGAAAAACCTAATTTGAACTGAACTCTTAGAAAATAAGTAAGGATTAAAATGCAACTAAAAATTAAGGTAACACACACGCACAGGAAATCAATGCGAGTCAACTCTCTGTATAGCTATCCTTACCTCAACTAACAAAAATCCTTGGTCCTTCCTATTATTGCTTGTACTCTCTCTTCAACAAAATTAGAGATAAGGGCAAAATAGTTTCTGCTGGGTATTGAGGGGGTGGGGGGAGGGGGGTGGGGGAAGGGGGGAGAAATGACCCAAACATTGTATGCACATATGAATAAAAATTAAAAAAATAAAATAAAATGAAATGCAACTAATGAGAAAATGCAAAAAAGCTAGTTGGCCATTTATTGTCCAATTTACTGGCCAAGAGGGGAATGCTGGGCATGTTTGGATATATAGCATAGAATGGAAGGTTCCAAAATGTCTTAATGGTGTGCCTATCTGTTAAAAATAAGCCCACAAAGTAAGTATGACTCCCAAGTAACATTTATATTAAAAATAAGTTATGTAAATTCACAACTATACTATCCTATTATGTACAATTATAAAAGATACCCCCAAAATAGGGTAGGAGGCATGGCTCAAGTGGAAGAGCACCTACCTAGCAAGATCGAGGTGAGTTCAAACCTCAGTACCACCAAAAAATGTGTACAACCAAAATATAAATAGAAGGAAAGAGAAAGTTTAAAAAACCTCTTAGGAGTATCTACTGCATAGCTAGCAATGTTCTACCCACTAGAAATAGCACTAGAATAGGTTCTGAGTCTTACAGAGCTTATAGTTTAGGGGAAGAGGCCAGAAGGACAGACAACAAATAAACTTTTCTGGCAGCCAT